TGGTTCCCTCGTTTGGGCGAGAAAGCCTGGCTGAGTCCACCAGCACAGGGTCGCAAACTTGGAGGCCTCCAAGTCCAATGTCCGTGTGGCTCACAGCCGGCGGACGCACTTGGACTTGGACCACTGAGACCAGGACCATGGAGGAACCAATGCGCTGATTGAAGGTGCTGGGGTGCCGGTGGAGCTAGTCACTGGACCTGTGAAATTGCTCATTGATGTACTCCGCAGCATCCCAAAATCGAAGTTCGATCGCAATTCGGTTGAAAGTCCAAATCAGAACACTTGTGGACATGAATGGACTAATTACCAGGCATAGTCAATCTACCGTCGGCCATTGGGAGGATAGGTTTCACATATGTTGATCCTTCGTCGATCTCAATCTTCGGCACCGACTGCCTCCTCCTGTCCCCCTCCACCCATCCACTGCGCAGGCGGTGCCAAAATTGGCATCCGCACCCCTTTCAAGAAACGACTGCCACCATTGAGTCTCCAATCCTGGCTGCTGGGAGGGACTGCCAACGAGTCTTCGGCATCTCATGGACGAGTCAGCGACGAGTCACGAGTCTTCTGCGTGTCAGGTGAAGGGCCTCAACGAATCTGAACACCTGACGGACCGGCCGCCGGGGTTGGGGTAAAAACCTCACTCGCGGGGTAAACGGCCAATGGGTCAAAGGAATCCAGCCAGGCGGGGCACACGGATGAGGTGCCGGTGAACGGAACGGAAAACAACTTGACTTTCATCATCCATAAGAGAACCACTCCGACCCAAAACCATCCCTGTTCACACCGGCTGCCAGGGGTCGTTGGAGTTCAGTCCCTGATGATGGCCATCTCCAAACATCAAAGACGAAAAAGGCAACGTCTTTTAAAGGATCCGTGAAAGTCAAGATCTGGGTGAAAAAGAGCGAGAGAGAGAGAGAGAGATATTCCGATTCCATAAAACAATATAAAAGAAATATAAAACATAATCATCGGAGATTGGAGAAGTGCTTCTACTGAGGCTTCCGGCTTCAGGGATTTCATGGGTCTTTGGTCTCAACCTAACTGGAAGTTGATAAACATGGAACACGAAGCTCGGGGGAAAGAGTTCGATACCCGAAAAGTGGACGAAGCTCAACGAAGCTTGAGCTTGAACTTCGGTGGCTTTGTTGAAGCTCGGCCTCCTTTGAGGTCCGAAAGTTCGACTTGTTTGACCCTGTTGTTCATGGTCAAGAAGCGTAGGATGAGTGTTCCCAAAGCACGCATTGCAGTGAATCCGGTGGTTCGAGAAATGGGTGGTGTCCAAAAAGAAGCGGACGACATTGAGAACACCCATCTGGTGGTTCTTGTTGGCCTTTGTGGGACGGGTGACCACTGCGGGGTAGGGTAGGCCCCAACCCTGTCCGGATGAGATGCAAATCACCAATTCCGACCAATTTGCCATGTTCATTGGTCCTTCTACATGGATTGCTCTGACACCTGAACTCGCCACCTTGAAGTTCGGTGCCTCATGTGCCAAATACTTTCCGGGCCCAGGCGTCTTGGTCGCCTGCGGTCACGATCCGCTTTCAGCGCTCACGGGGCAGGGGGGGGCGGTTCCTGCGTGGAAAACACGCGTAGGATCCGCCCCAAGTCGAAGTGTTGATCGGCTTCTTGGGGAATGTGGACAGGATCCGCCTAGCTGGTGTGTCAACGGTCCTCCGTCGTCCTTTTTTTGGTTCCGGAGGTTGCAGGAAACTGGTGTTCATGATCGTGATGATGTTGGTGAATTTCTCAAAGAATCCCCGGGTCGACCCGCACACCTGATGGATCTTCGCTAACACCTTCTCGAACCACGCATGGACGAACGAAGAATATGTAGGGTCATGTGACCGAAACCTGGGTGACTGTCACCTCCTTCGCCATGGTTCGGATTCCCTCTCATGGTTTGCTGTGTTCTATCAATAAAGCGGTGATCAAGGCGATAAATGCGGCCTACTACATGACTGAATTGAACAGTAACCTATGCAAGACATCATTGAATCATATTGAACCTCTAAAACAACGCTAGCTTTCTCTTTTGGAGCCAGTCTCCTAAGAAAAGAGCTGCCAGCACGAGTGGTTTTGGAGAAAACAACTCCGGCCTCCGGTCTCCAGCCCATTCGTTCCACCGCAGAACTCCTGGAGCGTCGCGACGCTCGGCGACTTGCCAGGGCTCCCAGCCGCCCTCATGATCTGGTTGATGCGGCTGGAGAAGGTTCCCGTGTCCTGACGCGGAAACTCCGAGTGCTCACGCTGATCCTGAGTGCGAAGGGAATCCAGCCAGTCTTCGGTCCAGGATCCAGGTCGGAGGCGAAGCATCCAGGACCGAGCTTCTTTATCATGCCCAGCATCTGCGAGGTTGCGCCACAATGTGGGTCTGAAGCTATGCAGCTATACAGCGTATACAGTACACATTTGTTGTTGTTCAGTCAGATCACAGAACCCAGAAAAACATCCCTGTAAAAGAAAAGGAAACACTTCAACTTCAGGGTCTCTCACCATTGGTCGCAGTTATTCTCTCAGTTCCACACATTCTTCACATCATCCCTTCCCGGACGCGGAAACACAGAAACCGTCCCGCAGAAACGCCCGCCCGGCGGGACGCGCTCCCGGCCACGTCGCGCGGGTCCTTGGAGAAGGCTCCATGCGTCACGCGCTTCGGAGGTCCGGTGTCGCCTCGATTCGCCGTTCGACGTCAGCGGCTTTGGGACGTCCGGGGTGCACCGGGTGTCCAAAGGAGTTGGTCCTCAAACAAAGTGGCAGAAGTATATAATATAGCTTACTATATTGTTTGGGGGGAGCATAGGAATAATATATATATATGCACATATTATAGATATATATATATATTAATATATGTATATATTTGAATGTATTTTTCGGGGAGGATGGGGGCTCCTGGTCAAAGAAGTCACCCCCAATTTTAGGAGCAGAACCCATCCTTGAACACTCTCACAAAGTGATTGACGTGAGCATCTAGTGGACACGGGTCACCGGGGCTCCACCTGACAACACCTTCAGGTCTCCGAAACTAGGTTGAAGCCTATAGGTCCTCGGTGAGTGTAGGTGATTCCACAATCCCATTCTGCTCACTTTGCAGGCACCGACTGTCCTGTTTCTGCCAAGAGCCGCACCAGCACCGTGACAAGGGACCGCATAGTCCTGTGACAGGCGGATCTTCCCTTTGTTTGCGGCGGTCAAAACATGCCAGGGCCCAGGCCCACACAGTGCCAGCCCAAATCAAGCCAGCCAAGGTGACGGTCAATGGCTTAAGTGGGTCGAAGCCGTCAAAGCCCTGAAGCCCCTAAAGGTTCCACATAATTACCTGCTCAGTTCATCTCAGTTCCACAGGATTGGTCCCATGGATTGGTTTCCATCCCGCTCGGACCGGCTCTCGAGGCCTCTTGTGTGAGGACGGGCGCGGAAGAGGACATCCTGGCGTCAGCGCCCAACTGAAACGGACGTCATCCCAAAGGGAAAACCGTTTTCAGAGCGTTAAAACAACAACAATAATGAACCTTTTCCAGGAACATCATCATGGTAGTTGCTGCCCGAGAAATGACACTTTCCGCAAGGCAAGCGACCCAACAGATGGACGTTCAACAAGGTGGGGGCGACAGCCACCTACAAGTATCAGCTTGACCAATCCAGCTACGGGGGTGTGAAACGTACATGTTGATCACAGCTTGGCGATTCACTCCTGTTTGCCATAGAGGGACGCTGTCTCTCAATTAGAAAGCAGAGTTCTATTTTGAGAGGATATGAAAACGATTCTCATCCTTTCTCTGCTTCTGAGCTCATCTGAAAATCCGATCTGATCCTCGTAGAAGATCGTTTCTGATTGGACAAAACTGTTCCCATGTCCATGCTTTGCTTTTCAAAACCTGATAGAATTCCCGGTGACCCGGGACCCAACGGACCTCCCAAACACGTTGTGTTCTACGAGACTTATACGAAAACGAGCGTTTTCCAGACCTGCAACGAGCCGAGATCAACCTTCCAAACGTGGCAGCCAACGATCGACCCAAACGAGAACCCGTCGGGACACCTTCGAGAAACAGATATATATATATATATATATGAAATCCCATGAACATGTTCCACTCAACTTCTTCACACCCTTTGTGCACCACACTGTTGGCAACTTTGTCGCATGGACCGCTCAAAATTCGCACCCCAGCGTATTAGATGAACAAGTGGTCGCTGTTGGGCTTTATATCTCGTCTGAAAACCGCCGAAAACCCCACCCCAGACCTGCCTTCACCTTCAACTCGTGCTCTCCGGCCCCGTTTTTGTTGAGCCGGGTGAAAAGGCTGCAGAACGCGCCTTTTCCCCGCTGGCTGTCGGAGCTCCGATCCATGGTTGAGGTGTGTTCAGCAGATGTGCAAAGGAAGAGATACAGTGGTTTTAGAGTAGATCGCACAAATGTTGAAGGTCGGTGGTTAAAATGGACCTCCATCTGTCTAAGACATCTTGGGGGCCCTGTGCCATCTACTCTGAAACCAGTGTATTGAATTTACAGTCTCTTGGGACCTGGGATGATCAAGTTTTCTTGGTCTTGAAAGGGAACAAAAGCCTTTGCGGACGGAAATGCTCTACCCTCGTGACCGTCGTGTCCAACTGTCCAATCCGCGAGCAGGTGGCGTTTTGGCGAACAGCAGTGAATTCAGCAGCACGTTTGGCAGTGACAACCCGGTCCTGGCAAAGCCTTGCGATTTGCATGGTTCCTCAAGCAGGAGTTACAGTATACCGTATGGCTTTCCCTCGAACGTAGGAGCTCAGGATAGACATCACATTCTCCTCCCACTTCAAACAGCACTTCAAGCAGCAATCCTTCAGGGAACAAAATAAAGAATCGGGCAAACATGCGACCTCTGCCACCTTGCTTACTTCATTTGTTTGGGACCACCTCACACTCAAATCTCCCCCAAGAAAAGAACCTACCAACATCTTCCGGGAATTCCTCAGCTCCTTGGGCCAAAGAAACCCATCTGCTCCGCCTGAGAGTCGCCGATCTGATCCATGCGCGCGGCACCAGCCAAATCCACGGTCTGCAACTGGGCCCACCTGCGCTTGACCGGTCGGGTGGTCACCAGACTGTGACGGTACGGAAACAACGCGGAAGGTGTGTGCCATGACCTGTCGCCACCTGTGCCATGACCGGTTCTGCTCCCCACCTGCGTTTGGCGTCCTGTTGTCCGACCAGCTGCTCGATTTGAAAGGTGGCCACTCCATGGGAACCTCGGAAGGGCCCCCACCACCAGGTAGGCGGACTTCGCCACCGAATGCATGGCTTTCAAGTCGCATCCCCATCGAAAGTGCCTTTGCTACCCTTTGCTACCCATCATTGTTCCATCATGTCCAAACAAAAGAGCGCAGTACTTGGAGAAACTGAGTAACTGTTCCTTCCTCTTGGTCCATCCTTTTCTCGGCTGCCACTCACTCTCTTATCGGAATGCCGATCAACAGATCCTTCCCTCTGCACCAATCCTTCCCCTGCTCCACTCGGGTCGACGGGTCACGGGAGGAAGCCGCATTGATGTTGGTGCAGCCCACCGCCCGCATCTTGTGGCCTCGCGAGACGGCCGTGACACGAGAAGACGAGACCTGCCTTTTCTTGGGCTGTCCGGTGGACCGGAGATGGGGTGGCTTGAGGTCCAAAATCACGGATGCAAGAAAGAATGGACCGATGCAAAATCAGACATTATATATTCTAGTCATATGTGAGAAATATACAGTATATTATATAGATATGACTATATAGATATACTATAACGTGTTGCTACCTGCTTGGAATATCCTAGATACATATCCTCCCCTTGCTCACCCAACTCATTCTGACGTGGAGGGCGTCTTCTTCCCCCAGCTCCTGTGAGCTGTGAGTGAGAGGAGCATCTTCCATCTTCGTATCCATGTCGTGGCCGGCCAAGCTAAGGTCGACTGTGGCTCCCGGGGGAAGTCACACTACGGACTGCGCAGCTCTGTGGATTGCCCACCAGAAATCCTCGATTCTTAAGTGGGTTTGCAAGGTCAGGGACCAACTCGGAGTGTGCAAGTCGCCTTAAAACAGGCACTATATAGTTCTCATATTGAGCAGGCACCGTTCGTTTCATCACGATTCAAATCCATTCGATCTTCCTTTTCGACCTACCCTATCTGACAGAGCCGATGTTGCCCGCTCGGAATCGATCTTTGGAGCATCTGAGGCGATCAACCATTCACATTCGTTCACCGCCTTGAGCAACCAATGGCTCCGCCAAATCCCCGCCAAAACAAAGGATGAGGAGTAGAAGAGCTGTTTTTATATACTTGACTCTCAGATGATCTTAGAGTCCTTAGAGAGTCTAGTCACTGTAGCATCCTGGTTCTTTGGTTCCAAAGAGAGCTACATCACCACATCGTTTCAAGGATCCCAACGGTCAAAACTGCCAACTCCACTGGAGCTTCCAGGCCGAAGTCCAGGAGCCGCAGCACATCGGCCACCGAGGTGACCACGTTCCAGGTGAGGTCTCAGGCGGTTTAGGGAACGTCTGACTGATGAACTGCTTTACATGCGGTTTGATGTAGAAAAAAACACGGCAGTGGAGCAATCTGCCTTCAGGGAGATGCACAGGTGCATTGTTTTACCATGTAAAAAACATCATATGCACATGAGGAGCCATGTTCGCTACTAGGGGCTCCTGGCATCGCTACCAGGAGCGATCGGACGCTACGAACAGGGCTCCTGGCCGTACTACGAACGGAGCAAGAAGCTACTTACTAGGGACTCTCTGAAGGTTACGTAGAAAACGAGCAATTCTCGTTGAAGACCGGTTTGTCTCGGTCGGTTTCTTCTCCAGGCCGATGATCCGAGCGATCAGACCCTTGTGGAAGCAAGGGTACAACAGAGTACGACCCAAAGGTAGGAAGGGTTTTAATAAATTGGGAAGAAAGGTAAATGATGGTAAATGTGAGGTGAAGTTGAAGACATCCGCGACATCGGAATAGATACTCTCGAACTCTGAAGAGAACTTGTGTTGGAAGTCCTTTCTACCTATTTGGAACAACCATACACCTTGTCTCTTTTTCGGATTGTTATCATAATAGGTGTCCTTGCATATAGGTGTCCTCGCACATTTTCCAGAACACCCACGTTGAAAAAGAAATTTGGATGGTGCATCTGCATCTTGGGCGGAAAACATAATCCTTCACACAGCCAGGCCATCTCTTCACGCTCTTTTCTCCCTTTCGAACCATGAGCATCTCCAGGAAATGCTGAAGAAGAAAATTGTGTTTTTCTTTTTTGTGCCTCATGCTTTAACGAAGCTCAACTTTCAGCTCGTCAACCACTCCTTGGTCGAGACATCATTGTTGAGCGCTTGTAATCTGGAAGACGAAGGCTACAATTGTAGTGGCAGCTGAGACTTCTTTCCAATTTGCCTTCTCCTAGAACTCGAGTTCGTTCCCGAACAAATGGAGACATCCAAACACCCCAAATTGGTCTGAGCAAGAAAATAGCCCCAAATCACCTGGAAACACTGACTCGCACCTGGCTAGCACCTGGCTGTGAAAGTGACCTGATTTGTGCTGCTTGCTCTTCTATGGGGCATATCGATACCATTGTAGCCACAAAATTACAGGCGCCGCAGTCTGTCCAGCTCCGCTTTTTGGTCGATTCATCTCAACTCAAGAAGACTGGTCTTGTGGATACTCTTTCAACACAAACTCTCACGGTATTATATATAGTATATTGTAGTTCTATACCCCATGATCCCAAGAAAGAACCAATACTGAAAACAAAGAACCATTGTTGCATGGCTTTTCGCCGAAATCTTGGCTTCTTCTCAGAAGACCGTGCCACGACACGCTCCAAGACCTTCTCGTGCTTGGCGTTCACCTCCTCGTTGGTCAAGGTCCGCGACATGTCTCGCCAGGTGACCCGGAACATCTTCGAGCTGCGTCCTGCTCGCGGTCGTGCCGTTCAGCACGCGAACGGGGCGGTGTCCGACGTGTCCTTCGCGTGATGCTCGGGGAGGCTCTCTTTTTAGGGGACAAAGAAACCTAACGACATGTTCACTAATTCTATGAGCCGATGAGCCAGCCCCTCGGATCGCAAAAGGACCTGTCGGTCAGGTTGCTGCGAAGTCCACAAGGAGTCGACTCTTTTTGGAGCTCGCGTCTCCTGTTTTGGGGTGCGTGAACTCGTCGAGCAAGTCCACTTTCTCCACCTGCTTCGCCAGGACCACGTGTCATAAGCTTTGTCTATTTCAAGCATGCTTCTGAGCATGTGTGAGAAAGGCTACACCATGGCCCATGGCTGAACCACCCTCAGTTTTGCTGCCTTTGCTTGCATAGTTCCTTCAGACAAATGTTGCTTTGTATACTTTGAGAATTTTGAGAAAGGTTAGAAACCTGTGAGTTCTTCACCTTCGACGAGGTCAAAGAGATTCAAAAGTAGAGGCTTCTCAGCGCCAATGTTACAAGTGTCTCCGTGTCTCTGTCGCTCGAGGCGACACGACCAACACCTTGAAGGAAGGAAAAATCAAACACAGCTTGCCGTCGTCTTCCCTGCTCCATCGTCTCGATTTGGGCCCGGTAGAGAGACTTGGGTGTGCGTTGTCCCACCTGGTCCCCCCCTTCGTCACGGATCATTTCGAAAAGGTCGTTGTCCACAAAATCCTCGGGGATCCACATACTGATGTCCTGCCGGAGCACACTTTACAAGATCCTGAAGGTCCCGTGGAGATTCAAGAAAGGAACGGAGGTACGGAACAAAGAAAGAGGACGCTATTAGGTGGAGGATATCGCAAGTAGGTTGGAGGCCATCGCTACCAGCAACAAGAAGCTACTAGGAACAAATTAAGAAGACATGAGGTCTATGGGTAATCACTCAAGTTGATGACCTTGGTTTTGCTGGAGCTTCTTCTACCAGGACCCTCCTGCACAAGCAAACTCGGTTCTACTGAACCGATTTCGGTTTCGACAGTGATGATGAGTCAGAAATTCAACTGACCATTGGGTCGCATCAATAATGGCCACCCGAAGGAAGGAGACGCTACTTTCCCCTTGCACTTGTCAAATTACTGTGCTGTTTATGGAACTGCACTGATATGTTTGGGCAAAAAAGAGCTATGTCCCTATATGGAACTTCCCCTCTATGCCTCTATAGCTTGGGTTCTGAGTAGCAGTCGATAGAGAAGGTGGAGAAGAGTCACTATATACCAGATTCAGATATACAAGTGCGGAATTGGTTCTGAGACACGAACGACCAAGTGCGGTGCTATCCTGAACAAGGTGCTATCTGGTTGGCTGGGTGTGATCCTTCTCACATCAAGCAGCTCACACAGATGGTGTGACACTCAGATCTCCAGTGTTTCCTCGGAACCTCTGTGGTCAATTTGGGTGTCTCAACCCAACCATGCCTGGGTCTCCCAAGCTGCGGACAACCCTCAAGTTTCGTCTTTGGGGAGATGAGACGGACAAAAAAGGGGCGGCTACCTCATGGCGCACCCCTCGCCCATGAGTGAGACGGATCCTTGAGCACCGGCGGGTACTTGGAGAAAGGCTTGAACTTGGTCTTCCTCGTAGGGTCGCGCGACACGACGCTCCGCGCGACGCAGGCAAACTGCCGTGCCGGGCAACTCAAGACATGGCCGGACCGCGGTATGGCCGGATTTGGACTGTGACTATGCAACCCCCCTGCGCTGCCCTGCGATTTCGACAAATGACCCAATTTGCGATGTTTGGTCTATAGAATTCCTGAGAACTTCAGGGTGGACCAGGGTTCTAGACTGATGGATTGCATACACTACGGTAGACAGAGACTAAGACTAAGCAGGCTGACGGCTGACTCCTCAAACAACAAAACAATAATAGAAGAGCTCCCAATCCCCATCCAACTTCACCAAATATCCGAACTAAACCAGATCGGCCCAAAAAAACCTCACCTACAGTTCCCCATCATCTTGCCCATTCCCAAGAGAATCCACCCACCCGATCTCCCCAAGAACTACCGCGCCCGGCTCCGGTTCCGTCCAGGCGGCTCCGAGAAGCTCCCCTCGCTGAACTGCTGGGCGAAGCGGGCGTCGTCCGACCAGAAGAGGCGGATGTCGGGGATGCCGAACAGGACCTCTCCGCGCTCCACGGACACGCTCCAAACAGCACACGCTCCGCAGGGCGAACACGCGGGGCGGTCCGCACGCGGCGAGTCCGCGGCGGGGCGAAGGAGACGGCGCGACGAAGGGGTGAGACGTCACCGGGGAACGGCGAACCGGATGGAAGAGAAGTTGGGAGGGCGACAGGAGTGGGGGGGGAAGCGACTGCGTTTGTGAATCCCGGGTTTTCCCCTTACATCGGAGAATCACCAGCGGAAGCGTGCGATCCCCACCAGGGTATAGGCGAACAATGGCATGTGGCATTCCCAGCCGATACTTATGTCTTTTACATTGCACGTTTTGGCCCAACATATCATCTTTGCAGCCTAAAAAGAAGTATCACCAACTCGGGGGCAATGTGGGAATCGTCCCTCCGTCCCGTGATGGCCCGTTGCGACGCAAGGCCCAGCGTGGCAGTCCAAGTGGCCATGGCTAAGCGTTCCAGTCCAAGCCCAAAGGCCCATCCATGCACCTGCGCGCCGAGAAAGCGCGGCGCAGCAACGCGTCCGACGGGCGCCGCTGCATGGAACGACGTGTCCGGTCGGCCGTCCGCGGGGTCCGCGGAGGTACCGTGCGGCAAGGGTTCACTGAAGTTCCCCAAAAGACGAACTGAGACATTCGATCCAAGCACATCGATCCCTTCATGATTCATGTGTCGATCGAAGAGTCAAGCGAGTTGATCACTCGCTTTCGGGTCCTTGCTCAAGTGTTGCGAGGTCGGAGACGTATGTACAGTAGAAAAATAACAAAACACACAGACCGTCACCAACCCAAACTGCACTCAGCACACACCATCGCACACCCAAACTACGAACTACAAACTACAGCGCGTGGAGCAGAAATTGGTAAGCGTATCAGGGACGCTAAGAGTTTAACATCCCCCATCTTCATACTAGTAACAAGGGCATTGCGGCATTACTACTAGTAGCATCTAGTAGCTAGAAGCTACTAGTAACAAGAGCGCTACTAGTTCAACATCCCAGAGATCACCAGAGCTATCTCCAATACACCGAGCAAAGCGACCGAGCGGCGTTGAACTGTGCCGAGCTCGTTCGTGTTGGTCGTGTCTCCAGACCGACGCACCAAGCAAAGAGGTGCATCCAGACGAAAGGAGAATGGCTCAAAGACACAATACTTTTTGCTCCAGACCATCTGCACTAGCTGTATTTCTGCACTAGCTGTATCGTTCGATATATGCTCTAAGTTCTATGTTCCATGTTTGTCGTCTCATTTTTCAGTGTTCTTCTCATAGTATCTACAATCCAAGCCGGTGCTCCCATCACCCCATCCGCCTTCTCCGGATCCAAGCCAGCGTTCCGGAGCACCTCAAGAGTCTCGAAGTCATCAGGATGACTAGGCAAATCAGGAATCAGTTCTGACTTCAAGGGCATATGCATGCGTCGCACATGCGTCGCACATGCGTCGCATGCAGGTTGCAAAGCCCCCGCAGGCGTCGAACTCACATCAATTGGCTCTGCTGACAGACGGACTTGAAACCGCAAAAACTTCGAATCCCACCAATTGGGCCGGTCGATGCCGGTCGAGACGAAAACACGCGAAGCGAAGAAAGGAACGTCGCTCCGCTCCCGCCCAGACTCGGACATCCGCCCGGACTCCCTCCACGGGGCTCCCCACATCGTGATGGATCACCTCACCGTCGGTGAGGTGACGAACTGGACAGAGGTTCGTGAGTCCGTCACCCGTGACGCTTGCGATTGCCAGAGTTCCCAAACCCCCTCACATGATGTGAAACCAGACTGGCGAACGGTGGAAAGGGTCGTTCATGAAAAAGCGGTGAGCTAAGAACGCTTTGGGAACACCACTGGAACAAGAATAGACTACCCCTTTCGGGTGTGTTTATGTTGTGTCACCTAAACTGTTTCAACTACTTTGGCATATCTTCACTACCTCTCTGCAGGCTATTCTAATTTAAGATCGGTCAAGCCACACACGCCAGATCAATCTGCCGCCCCACCTCACCACCACCTCACTATACATACCACACCTACCAAGAGCGCACCGCTTTTTGAAACGACGTGGAACACGCGCTATAACTTCGTCCGAGGAGCACCGCAGCCCAAGACCTCCATCCAGTCTTCGTTGTAGAAGATCTCCAGCTCGAGGGAGGGCTCGGTAAAGGGGAAATACCTGATCTCTGAAGCCGGTCCGGTCTGGTCTGGAGAAGTTCAATGGGATGTTAAAGCGAGGATGTGATGGTTCGGTATGGTTCGGTGTGCAAAGCACGAAAAAGAAAAAACAACGGCACACACGCGCGCAGTGAAGTTCCTTCACAAACACTCACATGCAGCACACTGATCCCAAACTGAACGCGCGTGGGGGAACCAAACCTCCCAAAACCCCCACTGCTTCAAGCGCCCTGCGCGAGCCGCACGTAAACCCCATGGCTGAGCAGCTCGTCGAGCCAGCGCATGGTGTCCTCGCCAGTCTTCAGCTGGAAGAGGTGTGCTGCCAAGCCCTGCGACTCCAAGGGACTGGAATGCATGAGCAAATCCCACCCAGTCTGGCTTGGAAGTTCACCCCGTGATCAGCAACTGCTTGGCACTCCAGTTCAGAAAGCTGCGTCGTTCGTTTCAAAAGTGGTACCAGAAAGGTGGGAACCCAGCAAACATAGATTCATATTCCAAAATAGTGTCTGGGTCTGCTGTCACCTTCATCCCAAACTTGGGACACTTCGCCCGGATTTTCCCCCCTATATATATATATATATACCAGGGCCCCCTAAGGGGTGTCAAATTGTAGCCCCTTAGAGGTTTAGGTGTCCATTAACCACTCCTTGTGGGTCCTGGTATATACATATATAATCATATATATATATATAAAGAGTAAGCAGCACCTCTTTTCTTATTCGCTCTGCAGCTGAGTTGTCACAAAATTCAAGCAATTGGGAACAAAAAAGAACTCCCACAAGTCGAAGAGATTGCCCCCCCCCCTTCTTAGTCCACAACACAGAGAAGGGGGCGCTCCCGGACAATCGTCCCCCCCTGACCAGGTGGGCCACACCCCAACTGGCCAGGTCCTGAGGGACACCAGCAGTTTTTCTTTCTCTCTCTGCTGGCTTTTTAAAAATCTTTCTCTTTCTTCCAAATCTTTCTGTTTCTTCCAAGTCCCCCAGGCCTCGCTTTGACGAGGACGGCCTGTTGCTTTGCAACGGCTCAAGTGTTTCAAAAATTTTGGTGGTTTAATTCGAATAAAAGCTCCGAAAGGTGCCAATGTTATCAGTAAAGACCTAACTTCCTCTCGGCCAAAAAGGCCTGTGACTCATCCAAATACCATCGAGCACTTTCTTAGGTTGGCCACCGCCCCAAAAACCATGACCCGATCTAGATGTCCGTGTTGGCAGAACCACCGTGTGGCTCCTCCTTGCCGTAACTGGCAAGGCCTGAGTTCCACAGGTTCTCATTTTAGGCTCTCAATGCATGCTTTAAACAATTTCCGCCAACGAGGTGGCGAGAGACAAAGTCTCTTGTAAGCTGACGCAAGCTGTGTCCAAGGCTGTACAAGGCGGTAAGAGGTGTCCTGCCCTATTGAAAAACTGTCCTGATCCGCAGGCTCGGTGCTCGGTCGTTTTCAGACCAAGGGCTTTAACAGCGGTACGGAGCTCTACAAAAACCTCGACTCTGCTTTGGACAATATCGACTCGGCTTCGGACTATGTCCACCAAATCACTTGTGTGTATAATGCCGTAAAACATGCCAATAGGCTAGTGGCAAAGGTAAAATGTCCATGATTTAGGCTCTATTTGACCATATTCTGCAGGACCAAATCAGGGACTAGCGGTGACTTGATTCCTGTCCTGCTTCCGAAAGCATCAACTCCTGCATATTCTCGATGGCCTGGGCCGATAGAACTCAGCAAGCTTAAAGCCACAGCCCTGACACGCTGTGGCTCCCCGAAAATGGTCTGTCCCCTGAGGGCTGTACCATCCTCGCTTGAACTGCCCTTGCTCGCAGCCTTTTTGCCCTGAGATCTCTGAGCATATCTCTGAGCCTTTCGTCGCTGGCGGTTGCGAGCCTTCTTCAGGGGATCGAGACCACTTCCCCCGAACATCACCTACTGTTCGGCCTTGTACTTGACCTCCGAGCTTGTAGTCGAAGAACTCCTGGCTCGCTTCCTCTTCTTTCCCTTTTTCTTTTTCTTCTCCTTCTCCTTTACCTCCTTTTTCTCTCCTTTTTCTTTTTCTCCCACTTCGCGATCTCCTCGGGCTGGGGCTGCGACCTCTTCCATGCGACTCCCAAAGCCTGCCAGTTCGTCCCCTTCGCGTCTCCCTGCACTGATGAGGACATCTCGCCAAGGCTGTTCTCGAAGATCCTCCAAAATGCGTATACCCGACGTCGCCCGTAGTGACCTTCGGCATCCCGTCCACAGTCTGGCATGCATTTGTGAACTCTGGCGTAACCCGTAGTGCCGCTTGCCCAGGTCAATAGGGCCTCCAGGTCCGTGCCAAAGAGCTTCACCATGTAGTACTTTCCCGACAAGTCCTTCCATTCTTCCATGACCTTGCCAGAAAATTGGCATGGGGTCCCAAAGTAGGTCGCCTGCTCTCCATGGATGAGGTCCCCAACGTTTAGATCTTCCCTGAGGGCAGGGATCTCGCCCCGGTCCCCGTGATCCAGAGCTGCTGGCCGCCTCAACAAACCTGGGCGTCGGGGCCCAAGCGCTGGCCTTCGAATCACCTTTGGTGCCATCTCTTCCCTTTCCCTTTTCCTGTGCCTTTTCCACGGCTTGCGCCGCTGTTGTAGTATGTCTGGCCTCTGATGACGTGTTTGAATCCTTTCCACTTCTTTGGCTTCCGCTCCTCCTGACGGCGGTGGTCTAGCGGTGAATAGGGTGAGCGAGGTCTGCGGGGCAAAGGCTTCCGGGCCGATGGCTTTGCAGTTCGCTTGAGCTCAAACTTCTTGTCACACCCAACGTCGTCACGTACTTCTTCTGTTGATTGGGCCTCGCCCTCACTCAAAACCTCTTCTTCCTCCTCCTCAACTTTTGAAGAAGGCCTTGGCTCGTCCTCCTCGTCCTCCTCGGTGGCAGTGGCTACAGGGACTGGGCTCCCCGGTGCTGCGTCCTTGTCTTTCCTCCGTGACCTGTGTCTAGACCGTGACCTTCGGCTTTTGCTCCCTGACCTCCGGCGTCGACGGGACCGATCCCTTTTCAATGAGCCTCTCTCCTTTGCGTCGACCAAGGGCTCCTTCCCCGACTCTGTATGCTGGTCCTTGGAGCCTGGATGGATACCTTGATCAAAAGTAGTTCCACCTGCTGCAGCGCCAGATACTTTATCTCGAGCTCCAGGAATGGGTTCCCCGAATTCGTTGACGAAGCCAGCTGTACGGTCAGATTCAAATTTTTCACAGGCAGTTTCCAAGGTTGTAGTGACCTTCTTCAGGTAGTCCACCAAATCGTTGGCAGTGTGCGGAGGACACCGGGTGAATACGAGCCGCTCTACTCGTACCACCAAATAACAAGGGTCACAGAACCCCGACGACCCTACCGGCTTACGAAGGCGTGAGTTGCACCCTTTGCAGGTGCTCATCTACCCTCCACAGCCGAAACACTACGGAATAAGAGAATCGAGGTGTGTTACTCTTTACTCCCGGGGGCGGGTAACCATATATATCATAGTATGTCATAGGCAACCGAGACGTTTCCCGAGACGTTTACCCATGCTCGCGCCCGCTGCTGCGCGCTGCACGGCACCTCCAAGGTCTTCTTCAAGTCTTCCATGACCTCCTCTTTGGACACCTGTGGTTGACCCGTGGAGACGGCCGGGCAAGTTCGGCAGGTTCGGCAGGAATTTTCGGACGAACCGGCGGAAAAGAACACCTAAATGTCTATAGTATAGGGTGCTTGCAGGCAGGGGCTCGCAATCCCTTCGTCCTCAATTTGCAGACTACCAAATGCACTCCCTGAAGTGGAAATCGGCTCCTTGTAAGACCATTTTCCTCTACAAACCAGGGCGTTTTCCACTTTCAATTCCCAGGGAAGGTCTGTGGGCTTCCCACCGACCTCCGGACTCCAGGTCTCGTGGCTTCCAGACTCGACCCCATCGCCTTCTGCGCGTCGAAGAGGCGGACGCCCTCGCACTGATGGAAGGCGGGATAGTGCGACGCATCGATCTCATCACGTCCTGGGCGACGTGGCGGCGGAGCCGCGGCCGCGCGGGCACCATGGCGGTTGAAGGTTTGAAGGTGGAGGGCAGTGGAAGGCTGAGATGGCCCACCCGTTGTAGGTAGGACACCTGGAAAATCCTCATCCTGCGGTAGTCGGGGGTGTTTGGTATACCACATGCATATCTCAGAGTCTGGAGCCACAAGCATAGCCCAGAAATTGCCCCTTTCTTGGCCATGAATGTCTTATATTTCAGTCTTCTTCTTGAGGGTGCATTTCAGTCTTCTTCTCATGCCATGCGAGAAACTCACCCGAGCAAAAACTGCATGACAGACCAACACAAAGACGGAGATTTCAACCTGTCAGGGACTTCAACCTAATTCAGGCCCAACGCTGCCTGTTAGGAGAAGAAAAATAGAATGGGGGCTGGGCACACCGGCGGTCAGGGCACTGCGCTTGCACAGCTACTGCTCTTCTGATGTACAGTACACAACGAAGACGTCGACATGGACGTGCAGCGTGGTTTGACTTGGAAGACAGTTTGATTTTCCGCTTAATGTAGACTGTTGATCAAATTTGATCAATAAAGATCATAAAGCTGTATGAATCAGTGGTTTTCTTCGACAAATATGTCTTTGTCTGAGAGATTTGGGCGTTGATGCTGCATCAGCGGACGCATGTTCCTGCCACCCCAGTGGCCCAGCTCCCTTCCACACAAGCTTCTGTAGACATCGCCCGCGCAAAGGAAGGAAGTGATCTCTGGATATTGGCTGAGAAACTGGCACTGATGTGCCTCAGCATTCACATGCATTCACCAAACCAGGCTTCCCCTCTTTCGAAGCTCCATATGACATCCTTCCAGTCCTTGCCTACCTTAGCCATAAAGTGGTAAGCTGGAGTCCGGGCTGGTACTACACCCCTTGAAATAATCATGGAAGTGGAAAATCACCTGTTTTTAGAGGAAAATGTTCGTTGAAGGGACCATTTTCCAATATTTTCCACTTCCATGAATATTTCAAGGCGTGTAAAAACAATATTCCCTCGATATGCGAATCAGTTCCAACGATCCACCACGTGCCACGTGTTACACACATGGATCGATGGGTCCACTTGGCGAGCCACAAATCAAAGGTTAACCGATGGGGCACAGTAGCTCGCCTGGGATTCCTTGGGCCCCTTCTTGGTGGTCTCAAAGTCATCCCCAGAAAACTGCATCGCACATCACCACTGTGAGTGAGCTATATATAATTTCATCATAATCCAGGCAGCTGATGTGTGTGTCCTCAGCACATAATCAGCGTTCACGTAGTAGGTGTCGCTCGGCGACCGCGAGACCTGAAAGGTGGTGAACAACACTGACACAGTGCCAAACTAGACTGCTTAATGTGGTTGCGTCACAGGAACCCATCTGCAAGGTTCGGACTGCTCAGTGCGCCAACTTTTACAGCTCATTGAATCGAAAGGGCTGAAAACATAGAAACATGGTGAGTTCCTGAAAACCTGGCGCATCACCTGGCATCGTCACCAGGTTCCAAAGCCAAGAAATACTCAGTGGGCTTTTTTCCCAGACACTGGAACCATGCGTGGAGATGAGCAGCATGCGTGGAGATGAGCATGGTATTGATTTACTGGGGTTGGGGGACCAGGTGCTGCCAGTCTCTTTCTTCCATCCGGATCTCTTCCGTCTTCACTCTCTCCCCCAGGCCTTCCGACCTAAACACATCTTGCTCGCCCAGCGCCTTGCCCAGGCTCATTGGTCAGGGTTTCCGAAGTTTCCTCACACACACTCGTGTGCCCAGTGTGCTTAGACCTTCCGAACACACCCGACTCTTCTCCTCTCTTCTCTTCGGGTCTCCCCAATCCCTCCCCTCGTCCTCTCCGAGTCGCGTGATCCGGCGGCACCCGCAGCTTGTCGAAGCAGTCCACGGTGGAGACGACCGGCTTCTCAGTGTCGAAGAACTTGCAGTTGGAATCCTGCTCGGCGAAATACTCCTCACAGGTGGACGGCGTCCCCACGGGGGCGACGGGGGACCGGACCGGAACATGGGATCTCTTCGGGTAGACGGCTTGACGGCACGCCGTTCGAGGAATGGGCTAGACGGCAAGCCCCTTGCGTGTTTGGCCGTTGCCATGGTTGTTCAAAAGAAACGAACACCTACGATTAAAGCTGTATATACCGAATGTACTTAAATAACTATATAGAAACTCATATTATAAATATATGCGCAAAGACTGGCCATTGGCCAATTCCATTGACTTGCTCACCTTCCAACACCCTGCTCCTGGACCGTCTTCCAGAGGATCCCCAGGGGATGCTTGGAGTTCAACAAGAGATTCTTCCCCAGCTTTTCTCTCACCCCGGCAGGCACGTTGTACTTTCCATCTGGCTTGATGCCCAAGATCTCTTCCGGTGGCGCCATCACCGCAGCAGCCCTGCGCTGCAGAGGGCGCCCCAAGGGCCTCAACTGCCCAATGCCCCGCACACGGGCACGACCGCCCAGGCGCCGCAACGCCACCAGCCCGGCGCCCATCGCCATGGCGCTCAGCGCCGGCGCCGACCGTCCACCGCGCTGCGTCAAGCGCGCCCCGCTCGCCGCAGCCCCCGCGGAGCGCGCGACGGGCGCGACGGCAGAGGTGGACTTGGCCGACACAGCGCCAACAGAGACGAAGGCGTTCATGGCGGGACGAGACCGGCCCCAGGCCCGAGGAAAATTGGGGCCCTGCGCAGCTGCAGAGATATGCTTCAGGACAAGAGTTTTCTGAAGTGACAAAGGTTGCATGAGCATGATCCAAGTGTTACCGCATGTTAGATGTGTCATTTCGTGGCTTGCCACATCTCCCGAGGGTCGGACTGCCCACAAAGACACCCACTCGAGGGTGCTGCCTCACCTGCTGTTGGTTTGAAAGGGTTTTCAAATGTGTCCGAGGAAGTCCAAATCCCATAGCCCCCGGAATCCCTTGGCCCCTTGCATGGTGTCTCTTCTTGGGCCACTAATAGTCCATGCATGTTGTCCTTGTTCTGACCTCGGACTTTGTTCAGAAACCATCCACTGTGATTAGCCAACCTCTCACACCTTAGATTGTCGCCAAAAGCGCCGAAGAACGTCTAAGATGTTGGCTATGTTCTTCAACAGCTATATCCAAAACAGTCATCCTTTTCACCATGTGTCATCCATCGATGGCCCTCCCATGCTAGCGTTCGATTCAGTAGTTGTTCCCACCCACAGGCTACTTTTGAACCTCAACGCTGTCACCGGGGCCTCCTTCTTGTTTGCTTGGGGGTTAGTTCACCGAAGACGAATCATCCGGATGGACGGATCGGAATGCACATCTGGTTGCCAAAAAAACAACAACTGGTGGGTCCGAACACATAGATATCGCCCTCCTCTGGTGTTCCTCTTTTTCTTCCTCCAACGCTCTGCCAAAGCAAGAAGTGTTGGTCATTTGGGATCAAGGATCCAAAATGTAATGGACTCGGGTCTATTTGCAAAAGAGGCCTCCTATAAATCAGGCAAATCCATCTCCAAGTTTTGACACCTTCCCTTTGCCCTTTTGTTCTGCGTGTGGAAGTCTACATCTAAGAGATGGAGAGTCTACCAGTTGAACAACCACACCACTGGACAAACCAGTTTGGGATGTTTGGGGCGCTTGCACTTTGATGTATGCTGGGTAGACCACGGACTTTATACTGAACTAGCCTAGGTTTCTACTTTATATGTATTTCCTTTGGTTCGCCCGGCGTTTCTCCCAACTCACCCTCATACCTCCAAAGGTGGCGCGCGTAGGAAGGGTGGGTTCCGCTGCTGTGGCCGCAAGAGGTCACTCAAGCGCCTGTAGCCGAGCGGGCCGCGCGGGTGAAAAGAACTGGTAGGTGAGTCGGGGCAGTGTCCTTTCTAAATTGAAGAGGTTTTGATCATCCACAGAAATAAAGGTGGAGAATGATTAGGGCCAAGACCCACCTTTTTTTGTGGATCTGAACTGTGTGGGGCTGGCACACCAATGGGATAAATATCAAAACTGGGGAAGTGAGCACAATATAATTGGGATGGACATGTTCACCTGAAGTTCTCTGCTTGGAGTCTGTACAGCTGCCATGCTTTGTATCGATCAATGCTGCGACCTTCAAAATCCCTTTCATCCATCTCAGACGAACCTCACAAATGCCTTTCATTGGGTCCCCGCGTGGGGCGAAGCCCAAAGCCCCGGGCTCATTGTAAAGCTCCAGGTAGGAGAACTTCACGATGTGCTTCTGGCGAAAGGCAAGGCCAAGAATCCCCAAAAGTGGTGGATGGTGTTTCGGGGGTTCGGAAAGCCGAAACGAACGCAGAGGACCAGTTTGAGCGGAAGGCCGGCACCCCTTCGATTCAAACATCTGAAGACCCCAAGGAGGCTTGAAAGCCGCCCCATTAAAAAAGACAGCATCAAAAAGCAGGACAGCGACGGAAAACCTTCGAACAAATCCCCGGAAAATAAATAACATACGTGATATGAAATCATTCCGCTTCGGAAACATCACCTTCACATTCACCCTCCACCTTCAGTCTGTGGAACCAACGTCTTCTGCACCTCCCCTTTGGAGCGCAGCAGGCGGAAGAGGCCCTCAGCCAAGCGGGGGACTAAGCCTTGTTGCTCCTGGACTGCGAGCGCCCGCGCAGGGAAGGCTGTGGTGCCAGGCTGGCGAGGGACTCCCTGGGTCTCTGGAGACTCTCTGGGTCTCTGGAACACCCCGAATTTCGACGCGGAAGAAACCTCAAAAACTGAGGAGTTCTGGGGAAGAACTCCTCCATCACTCAGAAGGTGACGCTGAAGGGTCACAGGCGGTCAGGCACACAGGTGCTGGATGTTCTGTTGAAAATTGGCCGAGGAGTTCAAGCACAAGGTTCACATGCAAGCTTGCCAACCGAAACATAACTTGCTGTTGAGGGATTTGGTCGATTTCCAAGCTTCATTCATTCATACCCCCATTGATTGTGAGCCACTGCCTTGATTGCTGCTTCAGAGTCTCCGAAAACCTTCTCGAACTCTAAACCGCACACACCACGGCTCTGAGCCGTGATGGTGCCGCGGCCCCGAGTCTTCCGGTGCCTGCTGACGTCCGCCGAAGATGGTGTGGCTCTTGCCACTCCCACAGGGCCTCGGGCCACGGGCTTCACTGGAGATGGCTTCACTGGCGGTCGTTTTTCCCACAAAAAAGGGTTTGGACATTCAAGGAGGAGCGGAAAATGTTGGTTGGTTCCCGCGCCGCTTCTACCCCGAACTCCCATGGGGTCACTATGAGGGTCGCTATGATTGCCCCATAGCACTCATCGTATTGTTCTTGGCACGGGTTCATGGCTCGGCATATAGTCTTGTGTGATGCCAAGTCAAGGTTGAGTTCAACATTCTATTGGGTAAATGCCGGTGATGTCCTACCTTTTGCGGACAAAAAAGGGAAGTCTTTCTACAGATCCAAAGTCCAAACCTATGGCGTTGACGTCTTCCCAAACTCCACACCCAGTCGTTCCGACCCTGAACCGACTTCCGGGCCACCCCACCCACATGCGATCACGGTGCCATGAAAGCCTGGCGAGCGATCCGCCCATGCGCGCGGAGGAAGGGTGAAGGTCCGGGCCGCCCATGAGTGGGTCCGGCGGAAGGCTTCGGAGAGCGGAGACGGTGCTGGGTGGTGGTTTTGTTGGATCCACGCCCAAGTAAATCGGCGTCCTGTTGCGAAAACAGCACAGCTCCATTCTGTCTGCAAGATGCTCCTTCCCCCACCAAGCTTCTGGCACTTCAGCAAGCTGCTCGCACCTCCAATCCAAAAAGGAACTCCCTGCACATCAGCCCCACGCATCCGCCCGGTACCACCGCGCCGTCCACCGCGTGTTGCACCAAATGTTGCCCGAAGAGGTTGTAGACCGAGGCCTTCGATTGGACACTCGGTTGGCTCGAAAAAGATCGAGTCTTGCTCCTTTTCGAGCCTGTCTCTTTTCGGCTTATATAAGTTGATCCAAAGGACGCATGGTCTAAGGAAAAAATTGATGAGAAAACCCGTTGCCCGGGAGGGATCAGGGATCGCTGTGACATGAAACAAATCACAAACACTCTGCCTTGGAACGGCTTGTCATAACGTCCTGGAATGAGTACTCGTTGTATGTCAATATGTGATCGGTAGAGTCAGCCGACCCATCGAAAACAACTTGGAAAGTGGGAAGGTCCGTAATCGATTTACTGGCTCGGATGGCTCTTGCAGATCTTCTGAATCTCAGTTTTCTCCGAAAAGAACGCACACGTGTTGGTGCACCATTGGATCCCCTCACATCCAGGGCGTTGCAACTAAAATAGCACACACTTCATAAAGTGGAAAGCAATCTTCCCAACAAACTGTTGGAGGTGCTTGGTCCGGTGCTTGGTTTGTTTGCTCTGCACAACATCACCTTCTGCACAACATTGGTGATTTGGACCATCCCTCAGCTTCACTCCTTCCTTTGATTCGGATGAAACAAGTCCATTACTACTAGTAGCAAGGACGCAACTAGGGTGGAGGCCATCGCTAAGAGTAGCGGCCGGAGTGATCCCAAAAAAACCACGGCCGGAGCGATCCCAAGCCTGGGAGCCACGGCCTGAGATCACCCAATCCTTGGAGCTCCGGGAACGGCATGGCTTCCGCTGGGAAAGTCACAAGGAGTCACGATTGGTTGTCGCTGTTTTCGTAATCACTTGGGTCAGCAGCCATGTGTCACTACAAGCAGTCACCTCTATTGTTAGTAGGCACTTATAAGCCAATTACCATCTTCTATCTGTGTTGGGCCAGTTCGTACATGTAAATTTCTATGTTGTGCATGATGTGACATGTCCTGACAGCAAAGCACCTGGCCTTTACCAAACTAGACACAGCCAGGTTTTGAGGATGTCTAAAAGAATCTTCTTAGTAAAGCTTTCTAGTATATAACTATCCCAAACACTCTATGTATGCCATGAATGCCTACATTGGGGTGGTGCCAGAGAGGTCAATGGGGCGGCATATATGTCCAGTCCCATGGAGTCGGGTGTATAGAAGCTTCCTTGGGAATCCTTGCACCGGTCTTCTCCGCCGGTCCTCCGCACCCGCCCGTTACCGTAACGTGGCGGGACCGTCCGGGAGGGCGGTCAGTCGCGGGGACCGAGGTGGAGAAATCGAGGTCGAACGGCTTTGAAATCCAAACTGGTGACTGGTGACCTATGAAGAACTCATTTCATCCAGGAACCAGATGGGGCAACCACTGCGATTCGCTGCCACCCACCGAATCGGCCCGTCCCAAACGAGTGGAAACTGGGCCTCCCAACAAATTCCCAGGTGCGAGGCCAGCTCCTGATGGCGGAAGGATCCTGCTTCACCCGGAATTGCTTGCCTGACACTAGTGGGGTTGGCCAATTGTGCTTGTGCAGAGGACTAAACACCGTAACACACCACCTTAAAGCGCACTGACAGTGTGAACTCGGCTAACTCACCCCGACTTGGTGGGCATCGATCCGTACAAACAGTACGTCCAAACCACAGCATCAGTGGAGTTGCTTCAAAATCCCGGGAGGAGCCAGGGGCTAGGCGGCTTCCCGTTTAAGACCATGAATATCCCGTGGTGGACATGTCTTACATCCCGGATGTTAGAGAGGCGGTCTGCGAGCGAGCTCGGGGACAGGTGAGGATGGAGACACTTCTATGGGCCTCGGCCTCTGGTTCTGTGGTGACCCATGGAATCGGGTCCCATGACATGACTCAACCCCAGGAACCACAACCTTTTACCGGACTTGACCATGTTTGGGGCAACTTTCACGTTCAGGCTCGCCTTACTAAGCTCGAATGGCTCCGCAGCTCATCGGTGGAGTTCCTCCATGCAGCTTCTGTGAGAAGAAGCAGGTGGGAGTGGAGGGGCGGAAGGCCAGAACAGTCATCAGTGATATTCCCAAGTTGCTTCCTACGGTTCGAAAAAAAGAACTAGGGGAAACTACTAGGGGCTCCTGGCATTGCTACTGGGAGCGTTCGGACGCTACTAGGTTGGAGGCCAGATGGTCGGTGCCCAGAGACTGGACCCAATCACCGTCTCGAGCGCCACACAGATCGCCGGCTTCGCGTGCGACCGATCTTCACACCTGGAAGCTTGAAGCTCCAGAAGCAAGAGCTTCAGCAGTCCGCTGCCCTGAGGAGAATGTGCGGCTAAATCAGTGAGGATCATGTGAAAAGAAGAGAAAACGGCGCCAGAGTCTACCGGTTTTCTAAAGATCCACGGATTCGGTTCAGTTCTCATCTTAACCCATTTCACTCCCACTGGCCTGGGGCCCAGGGACAATGCTTGGCAGGTCACCGTCGTTGGCCTGCACCAAATTCGCACAACAGAATGGGTCCCAGTCCCAGGTTCCTGCACCAAGAGAAACTGAGAAACCTCGGTTTCAAACTTGAAAAAACCGCCTGCCGGAAGCAGTTTCATCCGCTTCTTCCGGGCTTCCCTCACCCACCTCATCGGAGGACAGGGGCCGGATGCGCACGCAGACCTAGAGAGGCGCATTCGCGGGCCTTTCACCATGCTGTACGGCTGGGGGGGCACGGCCAAGCATTCACGGGAAATCCAGGAGATAGGGATCCACGAATCTACATGCTCTTGGAGAGACGATGTGGAGTTACCTAGGTCCCAATCTCACTGTCTCAGAAACAGGGATCGCTGCTGACGGCTTGTCACAGCTTGTCTCCATGGCGTGTCCAAGTCGACTCGCATTCCTTGCGCCGAGCCTGAAAAGTCGCCCAACCCCTAGTACAGTAGTAATGCGCCTTGTTACTAGTAGCGATGCCCTTGTTACTAGTAGCTTCTTGCTCCTAGTAGTAATACCAGGAGCTACGTTCGTAGCGTTCTTGCTCCTAGCAGCCTTGCCCTTTTCACCTGGATGGCCCTGCTGCCCCCCCCCGCCGCGTTCGCCGCGGACCGAGGCCGGCCCCCCCAAGGCTCCGTTCTCGGAGGTGCTCCGCCAGGCGTGGCAGCTCCTGTGTGGCGAGGCCGCTGGGGCCCTGGTTCTCAAAAGAGCAGGTCCTACCGGTCCTACCGAGGGGATGGGAGAAGCTCTTCGGTTCCTGTCATGTCTCGGTGAAGGTGGAAGAGTTGTCAAGCATCCGATGAAGTTGGAGGAACCTAAGGGAGCCCGGTAGAAGCAAATCTCGTGTAGAAGCCTTGTCAATCGAAAACTGGACAACGTTGGGTTACAAGCTGTGGCCACCCAACCCCCAAATTCACAAACATCCTTCATCAACGAAGCCTGCCAGGCCGCCACCGGGTCCGGCCAGCAACGGCCGGGTGCAACTCTCCCGTCTGCCTGAAATGAGCGCGAGTTCGGAGGCTCCTGCGGGAGTTCGTCCGGACCGGTCCACCGCAACACCGTGCAACACTCCTGGCTCTTCCTGCCTACAGCCATCAGAGCAATTGGCACTGGCACCCCAATGTCGGTGGTTTACATGGACCCCATATAAAGACATCTTGGGGTGCCAGTGCCATCTACTCTGAAACCACTATAAGATTGGAGTCATGACTGTGGTAGTTCTCCTTGTTCTCTTGTCCGTGGATGGATGTTCATCCCTCCTGTCCCGAGAACCGCATGTGATTAGGATGGTCTAGATGCAGGAACCTATTCTCGAATGGAAAAGCGTCCCTGCTATCCCTACTTGCCCTAATTCTCTTTCCTCTTGAGGTCTTGAGGTCTTGAGAGTGGCTCCCATGGCTCCTCCTACATACAAAACCCGCTCTTCCAGGAGCGTGAAAAGCGAAAAAGGACCACGGAGCTGAGCAACATTGCGATCATTGCGGACTCAAACAAAAAACATCGAATGAAGTCCAGAACCTCCAGACATCAAAAAAATGAGTGGATTTACAGCCAGGGCTGCTCACCCAAACCATCCCGCTGCGCGGCACTGTCGTCCTGATGGCGACGCACTGGAGACAAAGGCCTCAAGGATCCGCTCCGAGGAAGAAGCTGACCACCAGGGTTGAATCAGACCCGTGGGCTCACCAGCGGTCTCAATGTAGATCTGTGTACCCATTTCTTTTTAGCATCTACTCAGATGCTTGGTACACAAACCACGTTTTTGGTACCTGATGACAGGACCTGACTACGGAAACCACAAAAAAAAGAACATCACAAATATATAACTATACACTAACATGCTGGTCGACCTATCGTTTTTCGCTGGTCGACCTCACTGGCGTCGACCGGATCCGTGGCCCAAACATCCCAACGGGGGGGTTGGCGCCAAGTTGCAAGGCCCAGCGCGTCCCGGAACCGCAAAAACCTGTGAGCGCCTGAGTCCCGTCAGGCGAGCGATCGGCGGTGATCCGCATAGATCTGGACAATGACCTGCACCACTTGGGAACAATGGAAATCCCCCATTCTGAGGCATTAAGACATGGTCACGACAGTGGTTGCTTCAATTCAAATGAAAGCCGGACGGCTTCCTCATCTCGTCAGAGACTCTTAGCTGTCTAGCTCCCACAAAATTCATTCAGTTCGACACATTCCGTATCCCACCAAAGCCCTAAAGAAGATCTGTGCCCCTGAAACCAGCGGCACCTGTGCTTTTGAGGATTCAAGTCATCCACTGAATGTGATCAAAATGTTCAGCCTAGGCTTTTGAACCTAGCGACTGACGCTGAAACCATTTTGGATGAACCGCATATTATGTGTGTATGTGTGTATTATATATAATATATATATATATGAGTGAAACAAGCTGAACTAAGGCACTAAGACTAAGAAGACCGTTTCGGTCTACACAGGCAGCAAACACGGCAGAAACCCGCCCTTTTTCGGCCACAGGCCGCGTCTCGCTGTACTCATGGTCGGGCCCGTAGCGGATCGAACATCAAAGGCCCCACAGTATCTCCTTAGACACTCAGCATCTCCTTAGATACTCAGGACAAATTGGGTCCACCAACAAGGGTCAGTGGATGTCGATGACGGATGGTTGCACCCGTTCCTTGAGACCCCGCGTGTCCGGGTTTAATCCATGTTTGCTCTGGGATCTCCCTGGAAATCGCCCTCTTTGCAGCATGACCATCTCCCCGTTGCTGCAACCATCGCTGCGCATGAAGCGCATTCGGGTGCGGGTCACGTGTGTCAGCAGCTAGTTCACAGACCACTCTAGAGAGAGACTGCATAATATAGCTTATTAGACCCACAACCAATCGATGCCGAAAGCTCAGGATCTTTCTCCTGGCTCGGTTAAAGAATTTTAAAGCCTCAAAGCTGTCTCACCCTCCTCAGTGCAAGCCTCAGCCTCCTCCACTTGTTCAAGAATCTGCCTTGGCCAATCATCTCCTTTGACCATCAACAAACAGCTTCTTGTTTTGCAATAAAAAAAGCCAGGCTGTGTTTGGAAGCTAGTCGGTGGCACGGTCGTGCCTCATTTGAGCAAGCGTTTCATCGTGTGGGACTCACTGCGAAGCGATGAGCTTTTCCAACGGGCAAAATGGTCTTCGGAACAGACGAAAAGCTGAATTGAACGAAGGAGTACCGGCTGAGTACCGGTTGAAAGACCTTTACGTTCTTGTTAGAACTCCAGTGATCTTCTCCCGGTTCATCATGGTTCATCAAGAATCTAAGACATGGGGAACGGGGAATCTGGGCCGTACCACACAAAAACACCAAAGTGTAGACTCTAAAGCAATTCATGCTCGCACCTTCAAAAACGCGTTGGCTCGTCCACAGAACGCAAACTTCTCGCGCGGTGCTTGAGTCAAGCGCCTGACGTTTTCAGCCACCACTTTGGCGAACTGGTCGAAAGGCAAGTGATTCGCTTGATCTTGGAAAGGGCGTTCACATGCGACCGCAGCAGCTTCAACACCCAGAAGTGCCTTGGTCACGTGAGAGGCGCGAGCTCGAAGGATTCAGAGCGTGCTTCTTCTTGGGCGGCTCTCCTGTAGGCAAAACAAAACGATGTTCAATGGGGGTCATGGGCGGGTTAAGTTCCACGCTAACCAACGGTGGGTTGGCCTCTGAAATACCAAAAAAACGCCATGAGCCCTCATTCGCGACAACCGCAAACCCACCCCAACCACCAATGATAAATCCCCACTCTAGCAACCTGCCAGCGTCATTTCCATACTCTCCACTCTTGCTCCCTCAGCCCCACTGCCCCCTCCCTCGTCTACTGGTCCAGGTGGCATAGGAGATCAGAATCACCAGCGGCACTGACCACCAGGACTCTGCCCGGAGCATCCAGGGTAAACCCAACAAGTAGAGCACCAGGCACGTGCGCAAATGCGAGACGTAGGCGAAGGGCAACGGAGTGTTGTTGATCCGTTCCTCTCTTCGGAAGTCACGACTGACTTCTCACTGGTTTCGAGTGACATCTGAAAGTTCCGAAAGGTCCACTGAAAGATCTTCCGAACAAAAACCTGTATACGTTGCATTCTCTCTTATGGCCGAGATTCCATTGCGCCCATGGCTCCAGTCAGGGTAGCAATATGCTCTTCCATCTGTTGCAGCATATGAGCAGCTAGCGGGGCCGAATCCCTCTGGTTACTCCTGCGGGCAAACATGGCAAATCATGGGGGGCCATGGTTGTGAAACTGTGATGCGAAGCTGCACTTGATGAACCAATCCTGCCCTCCTTGCCCTCCTTGCCGCTGTCGAAAATCGTTGATCCCCAAAAGAGCATCACAGTCTGGTGGACGTTCAAAGATTCAAAGGTGGCATCTCTCCACTAATTAGGATAGGTGCTGGTTTGTTCATGAACAGTGTGTCAGAGCCTAAGCGTTTTGTTGCTTCACATTGAGTGGCTGCTAGAGACCTGCAAAAGATATTAAAACAACCCTGATGTTGTTGGCATCTCCCTCATTCTTTCAAACAGTAATCGAGAAGCGTGATTGATAAACGTGATCGATAATCAGAGCATGTCTTTGAAGCCAACTTGGCCACAAAACCTGGCCAACTTGGCTAGCCAGGTACTACTAGGAACGCTACTAGGAGCAAAGGGCATCGCTAGACTAGGAGCAAGGACACTACTAGGGGCTCCTGGCCTTCCTACTAGAATCAAGAAGCTATTAGAAACAAGAAGCTAAGAATTAGAATAAAAATTATCACCAAGTGCCCTGACTTCCGCCGACCAAGTGCCCTGACTACCACTTGCCTGGTCGCCCGCAAGGCAGCCTGTCTCATCCGATCACAACAGAAGAGCGTCTGGACAGTTGCCCTCTTCAGCCGTTCAATCTCCTTGTCCTTCAGAATTCCTGCAGCACGCTGGGCGTTCCAATGACTTATGAATTACCCCACCTGATTGGAAACGCTATCTCCTCCGAACAACACAAGTACTATACAAACCTGTCGGCTGAAAGGATTGTCACTTTGGGAAGAAAAATTGGGCAAGAGAGACAATTGCAACATCTGATTGCCTCACGCTGACACTTGATCAAAATCAAAACGCGTAATCTTAGCACCCGCCATGTTCATCACCTTGGAGTTTGATTAATTAATGCCTGGTGAACATTTCAACACCTGACCTGACAGTGGCGCCATGCTACGGAAAAGCAGATCAGCACCGCTGGGTGTTGTTGCGGATTAGACTCTCGGCTCAGCCGAACTACCTTAGCTGCAACCTTGTGGCAGAATATCCTCTTCTCAAGCCACCTCACAAGGGGCCAGGTTTGGCCTAGGTGTTGATGCGGCCAGGTGGTCAAATAGCAACAGAATACATAGCACCCAGGGTTCCAGGGAACCCCCCCACCCCAGGGCCCCAGGGCCCGGCGCACTCCATCGCTCCTTCTAACTCGTCAAGCTCGAAGGGCTTGGAGCGTAAGAAGTTGCGCGTGCACACGGGAAACGCCACGATCCACCGGCAAAGCTCCTCCACCGCGCCTAGCGGAGCGAGGAGAAGCCGCAAGCAGCCAAAAAGAAGAGAACGTTTGTAGTTGGTTTTTTGGGAGTCCAAAGACTGAAGCAACTCCAAGTGCTTTGACTTGGGGTCCTGCAAGGCCCTTGTGGGACCAACAAGATTGGGGTCCAAGCAGTGGGTGGAGCTTTAAATCCCTTGGAGCTCCAAAAGCCATGCGATTGTGGGACCTCTGCATGCTCGAACGTCCGAAATGCGATGTCCAAGCACTGTCCGTTCTGGTGGAGAAAGACGAACGAAGCTCCGCGGAGCGCCGGTGGTCTCCGGTGGTCTCCGTTTCGAAACGGAGACCTGTGCGGAGACCACCGGAGCCTGCACGCGGCGAAGGCGACACCGGGAAACCTCCCCACGCCGCACGGTCCGTTGGGGGAGGGCCGCCCAGGGCAGAAGTTCTTTCCAAGGGACAAAGCAAAAGTATGAAGCAAAGATCGAAGGGAATGCTAGTGTAATGATGTGATGTGTGATGCTCCACTCTAGTGTTGTAACCTTATATTTTGTGCTGTTTGATGCACGGTTTGGTGCGTGCTGCGTGCCTGGTTTTAGGATGAGGTGAAGTGAGTGGTGATGTGGTGGAGAGGACGGGTGGTGCTTTGCCGACCTTGTACATGTACACTCTGACCCAACATGGAAGTGGATGGCTAGCGGCCTAGCTTCAAACCTTCACACGTCCATGTTGAGTGGGAGAGTCGAACCGGCCACGCGGCGCCACGCGGCGCCCTCGGCGCCTCGGTCGTGGTTACAGAAGCGAACCGCCTCGCCGGCCAGGACGCGGCAGGTCTCGATGAGCTTCCCCGCCGCCGCACGGGCGTCGTAGAAGCGCACCGCGGAGCGGTTCAGGCGGTAGACCAAGAGGAAGGAGAGCGGGGTCAGGAGAAGAGCATAGTCCTCCTGGAGGTTGATGGGCTATCTTGATGGGATACAAGCGATTTGTGTTTATCACCTAAAGTTATCCTGAAGATCACACTAGCTGCTACTTGGCTATATGTTCAAGGATTATGTGGTTCTGCAGGAGACGCATGTTCCTCCTCGGTATCCATGTGTGTTTATCAGGGTGCCAAATAGTTTGCTCCTGCAAAAGTGCCACTGACGCTTGAATGCGAAAGCTGACGTTAGGAGCTCTATACAGCTGGGAGACGGGGCCTGGGCATATCAGGCCGCATCTTCGAATGGGACCTGGTAGGACACCTGCTTGGTGGATCGAATTCGTTGACAGGCTCTTTTACTCGAAAGCATGTCGCACTGTGATGCGACGGAAGGTATGCACAGATGTCACTGTGATGCATGCTTATGCAGGGATGGCACTCCGTCGCCGCGCACGACCTGACTTCCTAACGGGGATGGCACCGTCCTCACCGATGTCCCACCGGGTCATCCCGGAGACCGAACAAAACCACCGTTGATCCGATCCGTCACGTGATCCCACCGTGATCCGACCACGAGTCGTTGGGAACGAAGCCACCAAAGTGGATGTCTATGAGAGAACGCCGAATGATGCAAAATACCCACAACACATGAGCAGAATGGCCTAATGCACCATGAGCCGTGCATATTCTTGTGTGTTCTCGTTCAAAGACCAGCATCCCGATGTGTCCCTAATTTTAAAACTACTGTAATTAATTCATATACAAAGCATTCCAAGGTAGAACAAAAATCGCAGGACCCCTGGTAGAGGCCCTAATCTTCCACAATCCCTTTGAAAGTTGGTGGAGTTGCCTTGGCCTTCCTTGGTCCGATCTCCTTGAGGATGTCCTCCAAGTGTGGCATGTCCACTGCAGTGCCAAAGACCATCTTCGAGTTCTTCACCATGGCACAAAGAATCGTCATGGCACCTGATTGCAATGCCCACCCTTGTCCTCGTGGTTAGAGGTTCCAGTAGAAAATGGTGGGAAATTGTTTAAGACATGAAGCAACACATGAAAAAATTGTTTCATTTAAGACATGCAACAAAACATGACAAACAGAATCAACTCAGGTAGTCATTAAAATCGATTTGCTTGGGTAGTCAACATCGCATTAACTCGGTCTTGTGGCACTTACTGTCACTAGCACATGAGCCCTCTGAAGGGCAAACAATCGGAGTGTGGTGCTGGAGCCCTCGGAAGAAGGAGGAAGGAACAAACCAACATCTTGTAGATTTGTCTGTCGAATTTCTAGAGGCTTCTCCAGTTCCATCCAAATGAGCTTCGCAAAGCGCCAAACCCAGAGGCCCCCGGGAAGTCACCCTCCCTGCACAACAAGGCACTGATGAGGACGAGTGGTGGCAGCACATGGAGTATGGGTCGTCCTCGCAAGTCCCTTGTCTTCCCCACAGCGGGGACGTCCGCTCGTTTCAGACCATCCCAAACCAATGAAAGACTTGGTGAGTCCAGCGGAAGAAAGTTGTGACACAACTACTGTTGACCATGAGGATTATCCCAAAAAAAAACAACCTCAAGACCTCCATGTGGGTCTTAACTTTGACTCCTTGACAAAACATCCCAATAAGAGCCAGCAGGTCTTGGCAGATGTCCTTCGCATCCAAAATGAGTAGCTAAGAAGCTACGTTCGTAACAAGGGCATCGCTATTAGCAACAGGTGCATCGCTACGTTGGTAACAAAATGTACAGTAAGTCTTTCTTCCACCGACCAGTCCCACACACGCTCCTCTAAGGCCCAAGACCGTCCGCAGCCAGCCGCAGCAGTCGCATCCTGGTGCGAGTCGCTGGGAAATATGGAGTGTTGATGCGAGTACATCATATCTCGGGTATATCCCACTATATACCGGTAACAGTGGAGATGATGGCTAGGTTGCAGGCATTTCTCAGTGATAATCTTTTACCTACTGTTATTGGTTTGCTGGAACACACCCCAATTCTAGCAATATCACAGGACCACTTAGGATGAAAAAAGCACCTGAACAACTCACGGCAGATCTTTGATCTGCGACCGAAGAAGCGCAGCCAAGGGTTCTGTGGGTCATGTCCCTGTGATCAGCAAGACTTGAGCGGCCTGTTAGCCCACTTGGCTTTCTGTCCTAAGAGGTTCCTGCAGATCATAGCGCCATTGCAAAAAACAAACGGTTTTTGTTGGACAAAAAGCACTTCTCCAAAAGTTGGAGAGGAAGTGCACTTGTATATCTCACCCCCAGGAAAAGTATCACTACCTTAACAACACTAGCCAAGTCCAGAATGGTTTTGTCGGTTTTGTCAAGCCAAGACTTGTGGGACATTTCTGGCCTACCCCAAACAAAGGTTAAAGTTTTAACGGTTAAAGTAGAGTCCCCTCTCCCCGATCGCCCAGATGGTCCTGCAGTTTGAGCCTTGTAGGTCACGACTTCATGCAACGGGCGGGGCGTGAGCGTGCAGCAACAACTGCAGAAGGCACAGCTCACCTCTCCTGAACAGTTGCGATCTTGGTTTAGTAACAAGAAGCGACTAGGGGCTCCTGGCCTTACTACTAGGACCTTACTACCCAAGAGACTGAGATTGGATTCCCAAAAGTGATCGATGGGTGCCCGGGGTGCCCGGGGTGCCCGGGGTGCAATTCTCGTGGAGCTCAGGTCCTGCCAGGGCCACGGGTCCCGTTGTACATTTCAGACGGACGCAACGCGGAGGAATTCGACCACCGGTTTTTGTTCCCCTTGGTCACTTGGTCTCTCTGACGGTCTCCAAACCCAAAGCAAAAGTACCACTGCCTGGTAAACTTGTCATGGGATACTTTGACTATCTGGAAGTCCCTTCGGCACGGGGGCACCAAGCTCGTGAACCTACTGGAAAGATGGGTAGTTCAGTTGCTTCAAAGAGTATATTATATAGTTTGAAGTAGGTGCACACAAAGCTCTCCTCACATCCATGAAGGTGAAGTACTATCGATACATCAATAGATTGCTCAGGATTTCAATGAAAGCTCTTAGTGGATGTCGGAAAACAACGAGGGCAGGTTTTCCTGCCTGGACCCTCCAATACCCTTTTTTCATCCCCAAATCCAAGCAATCAAACAAGCACAAAATGGGCACCCAGGGGTGATCCAAAGAAGTTCTTCTTCGCCACTGGGGATAAGCCGCCCAAATCTCACCTTTTGGGGCTCTGGTCACGAGTCAAAGGTATTTCGGCAGGGCCACGGGTAGAGGAAGATTCAGGAATGACTCGAATACTGCTGACGGTTTTTCCTGAGTAGAAGTGGTGATGAAATGACTGTGACTAGAATAGTCATGGTCTTTCCTTCTCATGTTCATCTACCATGCTCCTCCCACCACCAACACCGCGAAAGCCGAAGAAGCCCCCGTCCTTCTCGCGCCAGCTTTGCACTCGTCAGCACATCCAGCAGCCTCTCCTCTCTCTGAACCATGGCTAGCAAGGCAGGCAAGGATTCCAGGCGTAGGGTTTGACAGCAAACAAACTTGAACGAGCAAAGTCAGTGCGTTTTGACCAAAAAGTCCAAGGCCAAACTGCGATTCCACAGATCAAAACATGTTGTCGGATTATCAAACCGCTGCAGCATGCTCATGCTCTTCACTTCTGTGACAAGCAGACGAAGAGCCAATGAGAATGCTGGTCCAATTGATCTGTTCGGTGTCTTTGTTGACGAAATTCTTGTCCCGACTGCATCGACTGCGCTTGTCTCAGACAGGATCTTTCAACCTTTCTCGTGAAGCCAGCGAAGCCAACGAAGCTGCGGACGGCGAGTCCGGAACGCCTTTCGGAGGGTTCGTTCTGGTCCACGTTCTGAACTCTGTAGGCCAGTGTCTTCAAAATGTATTGAAAAACAGAAGAGAGGATTTCACCCAAAAAGCAGGTGGAAATGGCCAGAAAAACGTCTGATCCTGATTCTCCTTACGACATGGCTGTCCATCCGACCCCGAGGCGCCCTGGCTTTGGACCTGCCACCTGAGCCGGTGTCGACCGGTCGGGACCGGCAAGACCAGGTCGAAACCACAGAGCAACCCATGGAGATATGAAAATGGGAGGGTTTCCCTTAAGGGTTCATGGATAGTTCAATGCAGTGTGAAAGAATTCTCCAACAATTCTGCAAAGCATGTGGATATTTATTTCAATGAGATGACCCCTCCAAAAAACCCTCTGAAAGAGGAAAAATGGATGAAGAACCCTCTGTGAAGGACAAGCTCAGCGACCCAAAAGCACACTGTTGTTGATGACCATCTCCCATCATCCCATCTTGCTTGCCACAACAAGAGAGAAGCCCCAAAGACCCCTGTTGCAAAGAACCAATGGCTGAGGAGTAACCTTCCAGACCCCAAAGGCTTCGGTCAGTCCGTGTGCTTGAAGAGGCAGGCGGTACTGTTCAAAGGTCCTGTTTCGCCACCGGAAGCAACATTAAATCAGTTGGGACACATTGAAAAAGCATCAACAAAAAACACAAATGGCCCGTGAAGGGTCACCGGTGAGGCCCCGTCCGTGTGCCGCACGCGCCTGTGGGCTGGCCGCCGCGCGGTCCCGGAAGTTGCCAAAGACGTGAAGTCGTCAAGGCTTCAGGCATTGTGCCTGGCGACCGTAAAGATGCTCCGTTCGTAGCAATGCCCTTTGCTCCGTTCGTAGCTTCTTGTTCCTAGTAGTAAGGCCAGGAGCTACGTTCGTAGCGTCCTTGCTCCTCGTAGCGATGCCCTTTGTTCCTGGTAGCTTCTTGTTTAAACCTCAAACTCCCCAAAGCGGTACCTATTGCCTTTGCGAGCTGATGTTATGTGCTGCTTTCGGTGCTGCGAAAAGTGTCCCCGCAGTCAGACCACATGGAGCTGTAGACCACCTGTTTTCAACGAAAATTGGTGTTCCAATCTAGGAGCCACTTGTTTTGGGAATCTTTTGGAAGGGTTTCACCAGAGGACTTAATCCTCTGTATAAGTGACGTTTGCGGAGCATCATCCCTCGAGTCCAAGCTGTTCGAACTCTACTGCCTGCATTGCCTTCTTCCGAATGGCGCCAACTCTTGAGCCGTCGAAAGCCAACACAAGCGCTCGACGTTGCAATCTTTCGGGGATCATCTGGAATTGTAATTTGCGCTGTTCGGAATCAAAAATCCAGGTTCGAAGCTGTCTGTGTTTCCAAAAATTTCACTTTGTGTTCGGTGGGTGGTGTCTCCAACAAGCAAAAATAGTCTAAGTTCACTGTGTGAGAGCCCCGTCCACTTTTTGCCACGTGTCAAACCACGGCCAGTTGGATTTAAACCTCACATCTGCGTCTGGTTGGTGGCTGATGGACACACGCTTCAAATGTTGAACGCAAAATGATGAGTCAATGGAATTCAATCCTCCTAGGCAAAGGTATGAAACTCAACAACTCTTGAAACCACCAACCAAATCTCGTTCCAACGAAGGTTTCCGGCCAACTCTTTGGTCTAGGCAAAGTCTCTGTACTCTTCGCCCATGGAGAGACACCTTGAGGAATCCCAAACCCGTGGGCCACTGGAGATTGCGACTCTAAAGTGGACAGTGCATGCATGAAAAACACATCTTCATCTTCGTGCTCTGTGTGTGTGTGTGCTTGAAGCATCTGGAACCCGCTCACCCAGCGGTATGCAAAGGAAATCATCCTCAAAACTTGTCTTCTAAACTCTTTCTCTCTCTCTCTCTCTCTCTGGAAAATCGATTGGGGGGTCCCTTCTAAGAAAGCATTCTCCAGTGGTTCCATAGGGACTGGAATTCTCGCAAGCAAGTGGCAAAACTAGTGGCCACCAGATCTTCCGCTTGTGGCCCTGAAGTCGGGCACCTCTCTCAGTCTCGCATGGATTGGTCTCGCCTCAGCCTCCTCGGGCCAACCCTCAGCCTGGCACAGCGTCTGCGTTTCTCCGGTCTCCACACCTCCGATGTCAAGACTTTGTGTGGCCGACCATGGAAAAACCGGTGGGGCTGGCCAACAGAGAGGAACAACAGCACGGCTGAGCCTCCCTGCATTGATCTCATACTGGACACATGAAGACATGACACCTACTTAGACCTACTTATTGACCCAAGATTGATGGTCACCTCCCTTCCAATCCAAGGCTGGATGTTTTCATATGTTTTCCCCTACCGTCCGTTGGTTTTGAAGCCGTCAGAGCATGTGGCTCTCGTCGTTGCTGAGGGTCTTCGTCGTTCGTGTCACGTGTGCTCCTTTACAGCAAACCAACTCAGATCTTCATAGAATTCTAGGAGTTCAACGGTCTGAAACAGCTGTCCGTCTGAACTTCCGTTTGAGCCGTTTGACCCAATAGACCCAATAGTTGGTGGTCTCAACGTGTAACGCACGCTCAGATGGCTGTGAAATATGATCGGAATTCCAACTACTTGGGATTCCTCCTTTTTTCCTTCTTGTCTCCACATGACATCGTCTACAAACAAAAGAGAACACCCTGAACCAATTTCAGTGTGTCCCCGCAGTGAAATCCAAAGGTCGGGCCACTGGCCAAGGCCACTGAGACACCCAAAAAGCATTCTGCCTTGTTCTTCCCTGTGCTTCGCAGCACATTGGCCGTGTTTGTCCCAAAAACATGGCCTTGGCATGTGCCGAGTTGATCCCCAGTCAGATGCCATCCACGTTCCCGGCCTCACCAAAGGGTGCTGCGACCTGCCTGGTGGCACTCAGCGGCCAATCGGGGCTAGGTCTCCATCGTTTTACCCATGACCTGACCGAGAACAGATGCTCAGGATTGCTAGCAATGCTTCGATCATTTCTGCCTTGGTCATTGATCTTGCAAATTGATACTAAAGGCTCGTAGAAACATGTCCTTTTCAGGTCTCAGGTCTCACGTCAGTTTTTCCATTCCGTTGACATTGATCACTCTAGTGTATCAGCTATCACCCAGTGAAATGAACATGAAATGATCTGCCAAACAAGACTGCCTGGACTGCCACTACAAAATGTACAAGGTGCAAAGGAGGTAATACCAGAGTGTCTTCTTATCGATCAAAATGCTTGTACGCTTCGGTCAACACTCCTTCATTACCAGTCCATCTTCCTACCGTGTCTGACCGTGTCTGATCGATCCTCACAGCTCTCCCAGCAGTTCTCCCGGCCCACCTGGGGGTCTGGCTGCTCAGGATCCTTCAAGCAGGTCATCTGGGTTCCTTCGATCTCATCGGGTACGTCCTCCATCGGCGCATCGGAGGTCTTCTCCTCCTTGCAGGACGAGACAAGAGTCGTTGCGCTTCACGCGGCGGGTGTCAAAAAGGCGCGTGGAAACCGTGCAGTTGGTCGAAACACGCAGTCCTCATCCTGCACAGCGTAGGCTGAAATGTTCAGCAAAGCCTTGGAGAGCAAGGTTTGGTCATGGTAGAGAGACCCTTGGACTTGGAAAGGATCGTTATTCCATGACCGTCCGTTGGGGGCTCATCTCACTCAAACTAAGCTCGACTTGCCATGCCAGGCACTGGACCAATCACTGAAAGGCTTCCATGCTAAAACAAGGAATTCCATGTGCGAGCTCTTTCAGGATGAATTACTATTGTATTGAATTGTATATATTATCCAGGTCCACACAGTCTCGTCGAAGCGCTGGGTTATCTAAGTGATCACTGATCTCAGTTCTTTCCGTCTTTCTCAATCGCACATGTTGTACAGTGGGAACTTCCCTCGTTTAGGCCACCGTAGCAAACAGAATCCCCCATGCCAGCTCTACAATATAATCTCCAGGCAGCAAGAACAAATGACTCCGCACAGAGGAGGTGATAGTTCCTAGGCTGCGCTGTTATCAACCATTGTGGGACCTTCAAATTTGACTGCCTGCATCTGCCAAAAAAACAAACTGGTTGAAAGACCTCCCCCACCAGTCTGGTGGCAGGGATATCTTACAACGACGGCCCAAGTTGACCCCAGTTCGAGTTCTGGGAAGAGCAACAATAAACCTAAACCCCATTTGGGCAGGATCAGCACCTCTCACAAGTCCGTGTCCATCAACAATCGTTCGAGAAGGAATTCGGTCCCCCAATCCTGCAATTCCTCTTGGCCGCTGTTTCCCTGGACTTATCGCATCATTTCGGAAGGCCTACAAAAGCCAGACGTGCTGTCCCCCACACCTATCATGGAGAGATATGAAGAGTATCTTCACAACAAGTTGTCATATCAAAAACAAAGTCCTGCTGCTACTTGTTGTTATTGGCTATGTTTTCCTCACACATTGGACTAGACTCAAGAGCGTCGCAACGAAGCCAGCTGCATCGCTGGACGTCATCCAGGAGACCGCGGCCAGAATCGTGCTTTGGAGGAAGTTTACGGAGAGCAAGCCTCAACGGAGAGCGTGGCGTCTTGCGCTGACAACAACCACGTTTTTGATGACAAGCTGCAACTGCTTGGGGTCAACAACCACATGGCGGTCATCCGAAAGCCACAAATCCAATAGAATAATAATCCCCAAAGCCCAAAGATAAGCACTACAAAGTGGTGGTCCCCTGCCTTTCACGCCCCAGAACTTCCAGAAGGGGTTCACAGCATGCAGCACTTCATTGAACGCGTGCTCGTACTGAAGGATTGCATAGAGGGCGATGCTGCAGGTGAAGAAATCAGCAGTCATAATCATCAAAGAGCTTGAATTCCAAACATCCTCACAAAGGGTGTGGCACCAAAAAGACAGGAGACCAACTTGACCAACAATCATGGAGAAATTCTGCATGCTAACAAGTCTGTTTGTCAGTGGTTTAGTTTGCCCTCCTCACAAGCCAACGATGTTGCACGCGTATGGAGCGACTGGTTCAGCTTCTGCTCACTCACCGCCAGGCTGATGCTGTGGTGAGGGAATCCCCGATGAGCAATAAAGGCCTTGGCGTGTTTCGGCACGAGGTCGTGAGGAAACTGAGAGCGGCTCGTGGGGCCGGATTCGATATGTATGGATATGTATGGCATCTTGAACGGCGATTCCGCCACTCCCAAAAAAAACAGCAATACAGCACTTGAATCTGCCCGGTGGCTTCGCTGAAGCGTTTGGACCCCGATCACCAAATCCACGAATGACTAAACCAGGATCAAATCCGGGCCACTGATAAGTGGAATGGGGGTTGTCTGACATTGTCTGACCATTTGCCCCTTCAGCTTCTCTCCTGCGGCTTCATCCCACTCTTCCAAGTGGCTAAAGCCTCCTGGCAGGAAGCGGGTTGGAGCACGTCCCAGGCTTTCACCGCCACCAAGAAGAGGTTACAAGCAAAGGCTAGGACCACGTACTGCTTGATGCCCAACGACATCACCGACTGGAAGCTCCTTTGCAACCTGGTGAAAGAAAGTGTCCGTTCGATCTCGCGTTCGGAAGCGATGGATATGTGTGTCCGATCGTCATGCCAGGGGTTCCATACCAGAAAGAAAATAAAAGGTATCCAAAAGAAGAAAGTCAAAAACAAATCGATACTCAGCTATCACGGCAATGGTCATTTCTGAAACAGTCTTGACTGCACTGTCTCGACCTACATACCTATCTCACCTCCTTAAGAAACTGTGATCACGGACAAGCACAGCAGCAGCAATTTATGTATACTGTAGAAGGGCTTTGTCTTTGGGGAAGCCACGTAAAGCCAAAAATCAAAACTTCAGCCAGTTGAGGTTAAACCCTCGAGTAGCTTGAAGGAATTCTTGATGTCGACGTCTCCCTGGTCCAAGGTCCGCTCCAGACTCAAGCTTGGGCTCAAACAATCCACGTAGACCACCAGCAACCTCTGAAAGGCATACAATGCGCAGGCGGAAAAGAGCTCAGCAACATCCATCATGGACTCTGCTGTCCACGTATCTTCGCGGTTGATGGTGATCACCCGAAGAGCTGACATGGCACAGGTCCCATAAGTGGGTGGCACCAGCAAGACCACCGCGGTGTATCGCGCAATCTTCAAGCTGTGTTCGTTGACTGCATATGCGCCATAGGACCGGGCCATCCATCTCAACATGGAACGAGCACTCAAGCAAACGGCTGCCCAGGACAAGCAGAGCCCCGTCAGCACCCAGAAGCTGTGTAAGGTCTGCGGATCGATCGTGAAGACCGACTGCACCTCCTGCCGCTCCTGAGACAGAATCCCAACCCATCGCAGCGACCGGTGACAACGGGTGACCGGGTCTCCCCATAGTCATTGGAGTTCGGACGTGAAGAAAGCCTACCGCTCGTCTCGTCTTGACCCGACCGCGAGGAGCGGAGACACAAGCTCCACCCGGCTGCACTCCCTGGATCGCACGAAGACGCGAAAAAGAACCATTCTTTAACAAAAGCTTTGCAGCATGCAAAAATCGCACCAACGCCGTCGGGGACAATCCCTAATCAAAGCCAAGCTTCAGTATGCACACAGGCATACTCTGCACACCCAGCTTCAAAGAAAAGGACATAGTTCCTCAGGTTTGTTTCAGAGTTTCCTTTGGAAAGCATTTCAACCACAAAAGAAGCAGGAACCAGCATCCACTTCTGTTTGGGCTTCTGCTTCTGGTTGAACTCTCTGCAAGTGGAAAGCTACCCTCATACGCCGCAGTCCATGGCCGATGGGTGGAAAATGAAAGACTACACCCCAATCTATTGAAAGTAAACATGGATTCTTGGTGCAAGCGATATGATATGTTAGATCTTGTGGCTAAGACCGGTGCCAGGCCTAGGCTCTGCAGTCGAACTAAACCCCCACCCATCCAGCCAGGTGGTCCATAGGACCAATCTTGAAAAAGCCACACATGTGGTGCGAAGCTTCTCGGCTTCCCCTCACCTTCCCCTCGAATCCTCGCTCCTCCTCGCCCCGATCTGGACGACTCCGACGCAACCCGAAAAGGCCCAAGGCTCTTCTTCACACATTGGGTGTCAGTGCACTGATCCCCAAAGGTCACCAAACCACACGGCACCTGTCCTGTCACCACACGACGTACAACGTGAAACAGCCGAGATCATGAGATCGTTTCGCGTGCGTGTCAGAAGTCTGGAAGTCTTTGAAGCGAGCCACGGTGAGGGGGGGATCGAGCCAAAAGAACACACGAACGGCCACATCGACATCGGAAGGCTTCATGTTCATAGAGCAAGCAAACTCAAGTCAATACGCCAACTCCAAAAAGAAACATGACAAATATGTTTTTTTCAAGAAATGGGTCTACTTTTCAACTCCCCAGGTCTGACATGCTCACCATGGAGCAGAGGTCAACCTCTTTTTGAAGCGGTCAGCGTGAATTCCTTCGGTCAGCGGTGGGCCGCGGGGTGCCGAAAACTCGACGTTCAGGGTTCAGTGCTCCTCATGCCTCATACCGTGGTCAAATAGGTCTGGACATGGAACAGAATGTTAGAATGGGTCTCCCTCGTTTGGGGGTCTTTTCTTCTTGGAGCCCTGCCCTAAAATTGGAGGGTTGAAGCTCCACCCGGCATACGGAGAAAATCAGCACCGAAAAGCCCCCACCTGTAAAAATCAGCACCGTCTCCCGGACGAGCAGAACTCCACAGCCACAGAGGTACAAGAAGGAGACACAAAGCAAAGGTCGCTGTGCAAGGCACCACATCCTCCAAATAAAAGCCGGGGGGCTCGGGAGGCGTCGTATGCCTGTTTCTTTTGTGAAGGGTGCATAATCTCCTAAGATTGGACTGGTTTAAATTCCAAACGAATGAAGCCTAGTGAATCGAGCCATGGATTGGTGGATCCCTCTTTTGTGAACTTCCCCTAATGAACGCACAATCCGCCTTGCAGATGGCATTGATGTCGTTTAAGCAAGAGATAAAAAAATAACAATTTTAACACTGAAAGCAGGCTGACATGGTTTCTAGAGGATTCTCTCTATTTTGGAAGGAGCTTCCACACCAATTACAGGCTGCCCTTCCCCGTTCGTTCGCCGTTGTTGCTGCTCAGCGTCAACAAAAGACCACTGATGCCCGAGAAGAGTGCCCACAGCTCGAAGGAACAGACTTTCGAGCACAGCCAACCGAGCGTGGCCATCGCCACGACCAACAGCACCGACCCGAACGTCGCCCGCGCCATGACGGCCCGGGACGCACGGCACGCGACGCACGGCGTGTAGGGCGTGTTTCGATGTCGGTGGGTCAACTCGGCTGGTGAGAAAGCTAACGTAGATTTGAAGTGATAGGTCATGGACCTACACGTCCAAAATTCCAGGTTGATGTGTTTGTCTTAGTTGCCAAGCTCCTCATACAATGAGGCAAGTTTTTGGAAGAACATTCAGATCAGTGAGGTCATGAAAGCTTGAAGGGCCCAAGGTTGGCATCAGTGCAAGCAGGATGTCCGTTGAACTAATTGGCGGATATAATGTGATATACAGTAACTGCATTCCTTTTCTTTTGCCTGCGATGAGTAAATCGACTAGCCAGACCATGCAAAAGTAGGAAGAATTGAACACCCAATGGTTGGGCTCCCCCATACCTAACCTAACGCCAGTTTTGGTTTTTTCGGGCTGAAAACGTGGAATCTTCTTTCTGCCCAACTGCATGGAACACGACACCTTCGAGCAAAGTCAGCAGGTGGCACTTTGCAAAACAACGCTATGTCCAACCTCGTGTGGCACCTTCCCACCTCATCTTCAGTGGTTGGACTGCACTTGACTAATCATTTCATCACTCCATATGTATATGCATGGGACGAGATCTTGGCCCGCATTTTCTTCACCGCACCACGCCGCGATTCCCGCTGTCGTCTTCACTCGGTCTCCGTACGCCTGGTTGGAGCAAGCGTCCGTTGACTCCCGAGGTTTCAATATGGCGAAAGCCGAAAGCCGAGATGTCTCAGAGAACACGGATGCGATGCGAAAGGCGAAAGCTGCTGAATTCGGGGTTGGGAGCTTTACTAGAGATTCAGTTTCAATCAGACTACCAGGTGTTGCCAGGGTCGATGTACCAGCAGTGAGTGAGAGGTGGAGTCGGTGTTTCGACCCAAACACTACAGAATAGTGAAGAATAGAACACTCTGTAAGAATGGAGATACAACCCTGGCTATATAGACCTGAAAATCAGCTGGTCTGCCCAGTAGGCACATTGGACCAGACAATCGATTTCATCCATTGCGAGGGCATGTTTGAGAGTTACAGTGTCTCACACACATTCAGTTTCTTCTAAGGGCCCTTGGAGCAGTTCATGGTAGTGTGTACTGCTCACATTCTTCGTCACCAGGTTCGACCGGTTAGGGGGAACTACTCTGGCCCTGGCTGTATTCGATGTTCCCAACAGGTGGTTAGAGGGGATGTTTCCACTTCAAGGCATACCCACTGTGGTTGCTGATGACCTCTTGGCTGATCAGGAGCCAATCTTCCTGTAGCCAACCTGCCATTAGCCGCGCTTTTCGTCTGTGCCGTGCCGGCGCAGAACGTGTGGAGCCTCACGCAGCACAGCGAGCCTGGATCACTAGGACTAAAGAGCTTCATCCATATCCATGCGGATCGCCATCTCAATAAACTCTGTCTCGCTGGCTTTCTCTGCATCGGCCCAGAACAGCCCTCTCGCAGACTCGATGGGCAGCAGACACTTCGCCCATGGCCCCATGACCGCAAGACTGAAGATCAGCAGTACATATCGCCCATACATTTGTGTGCTGAAGGCATGCCAGAGCTGAAAGCAGCAGCCAGCAATAAGGGCGAAGCTCAAGTATGACCTGGACAAGCCTGCGTTTCTGTTCATCTCATCGGAAGGAAGCTTCACTCTGAAGACCCACACGCCAAGGTCGAAAATCAGCAGATTGGCCGTGCCAGCACCCAGAATACCAAGGCTCAGTAAAGGGATGAATGGTGTCCAGAAAGCCAAGAGCTCCATCTGGGTCGTCAGCAGTGACATTTGCTGCAACGGATGTAAAGAGCTGGTTGTTTTGGGACCAAAACCAAACAGCTTGAGATGACGCCCCTTTTGCGGGTCCTCTTGGTGCTCTAAGCGTGAAAGCCGCCACATCAGCCACGAAATCAACGGCTGCATGCTACTTCGCACCAGCAGCTTTTTCAGTAGAAAAGGCGTTAAATTCCCCACAATGGCACGGCTGCAGCAGCCATCAGACCACCAAGTCTGGCTTAGGTTGCAAATATCCCTTCGGGTATTCAGAATCTCTTCACCATAGATACTCCAATAGAAGTACTGGTTCTCAGCCGAGCCTTCTTGGCAGACCGTCCAAGTCCACTTCCACCCCGAAAGGCAGTTTTCATCTAGTATCACGGTGATGAGCACTGGTAGTAGCCATGCGGAAAAGAGTCGGAAGGTCATCAACAATCGATCCGTCTTGACTCCAGTCAAGAAGGAATACTGTGCGGAGACTGGGACGGCCAAGACCATATCAATCAACACGGTGAGTGCCGGCGCAGCTCCATGGACCAGCTTCAACAAGGCCTCGTCGAGGCCAGAGGTGTTGTGTGCCGGCAGAGACTGAGCAAAGGCATAGAGAACCGATGGCAGGGAGAACGTCGCCACAATGAACACCCAAAGGAGCCAGACGAGAACTCGGCGAGCGCGGCCCAAAAGAGGTCTCCTGGGCTCTCTTTCGTGGAAATGGGTAGAACCAGCATAGTGCGTTCCCGGCATGCTGGCAAAGATTACTCGGAACAGCAGCAGCATCGCACACCAGCAGCCCGTGACAGCAAGCTCCGGTAGAGGCTCAGCTTTGAAGTTTGCAGCGGTGGTTTGCCACAGGGGCGGGCTGCATTCGTAGTATCTTCCGCTGCACCAAAAAAGCATCAACAGCGGGCTGGCGAGCAGAAAGACCGCACGGGCTGCTTTCAACCTGAGTCACACAAAAGAAAGGTGATCAAGTGTTGTTCCCTTGAACACCCCGTGCCGTCGAAGTTGGGGCCCTTTCTTGTGCCGTCTCTCGGGCGCTGTTCGCAAGTGTCAGTCACATCTGGACGGGTGTGGAATGATCAACGGGGTCTCCCCCGGTCTCCCCCCTGCGCCGAGGCCGCTTCGACTGCGCGTTTTTACGGGTCCCCCCCACATCCACGTCCAGTCGGGTTGATTGGTTTTCTTTCCCTTTGGTCTCATGGCCTCCAAAACAGTCAACCCGTTGGAGGTGTAATTTGAACCATCTCGCATAGGCCACAATGACTGTTTGTATGGGGCTTTTGCAGAGTCCTTTCATAATATGCAGCCTTCCACAATTCGAGCGAATAGTGAATACAAGTGTCTTCCAACCCCACATGGTCCATGTCTCTTGACTAGCTCAGGTCTCTTTCGTGCTCTTTTCGTGGCCATCCCTTCTTGGCCAAAAATAGCATCCAAAGCAGGCTGCCCTTCTTAGAGCTGGAGAATGTTCCGTTCAGAATTCCCCAAGCAAACAGCTGAATTGTAGAAAAACATGTCAAAAACCAAAGCGAACAGTTATATAGCTCTATGGTTTGGGTACTGTATGCTGTATATGTCATCCCATTATCACTGGCAGATAATGGACCCAAAAGTCATATGATCAAGATCAAGTCGTTTTCCTGTTGACTATTGCTCTCTGGTGGATGGGACAGATTCACCTGCCAAGACTCGTTGAGGGAAGAAATCCGGAAAACGACCCAAGTTAAGTTCGGAAAATATCCCACGAATTCAGAGGGTTTGGAGCATCAACGGGGCGCTCCGCCGAACTCTTCCATCAATCGTTGGGGTGTCACCCGCTAAGACCTAAAGGCCAAGACAGTTGCGAGGCTGGGGAGAAACAGCATCAACACCAGCATTCTCAACTGCTAAGACCTAATGTCATTTTCTGAGAAGACATCAGAAGAACCGAACAGTACACTTGTCAGCTCTCGGAATTCTTACACACCTTGAAGGGTAGAAGGGTAGCTCTCCCCGAAACCAATATAACGAATTACATCGAATTACACAACAAAACCTCACCTTATTCGTTCTCATCTAGAATCTACCTTTCCTGGGAGAATTTAAAATAGCTCTACCCGCCGAAAGACATCTTCCCCAAGAAGACGGCGAAAAACACGCTGTGACCCCACGGGAAATCCCAGCAACAAGGCCAGGTTTGAAGAAACCACTCGAGCTGTGGTGCTCACGTCCAGGTTCCGTGATGTCTCCTGCACCCGCCGCCGCTGCGGTAAATGGCACAAGAGCACGAAGAAGAGCAGCAGGAGAAAACCTCCCAAGGCATAGATGTTGGATGTCCAAACCTGGATGTTGGTATCGAAGACACTCAGAACGAAAAAGAAAATACCAATACCGAAACAAGGAGACATCACGCAAAAACAATGCTACCACTCCTGCACCAGTCTTCGCATAGGTGTCGATATTCGACACCAGTGAGCTTGCACACAGATGGATTTCCAAAAAAGGAAAAGAACGGTGCCGACGCTATCGTGACGACTTCACTTCACACCTCGTAGGAGTAGTACAGAAAGGACTGCTGCTCTTCTGGTAGAATCCAAGAGGAGTTCAGCTCGCGCCCCAAGCCCAGCATATTGCCCATGATCACTAAGCCGATCACACTCACATTCCCCAGGCGCTCCGGCACGCTGCAGGAGAAGCGGTTTCGGTGCAAGGTGACGTTCGCGCGTCCGGTGCTGGGGCAACCAATCCAGCTGGGGCAGTTGCTCTCAATGCGCTGCACTTGCTCCTGGCTGGGTGCATGGTTGTGAGAGATCTATGGTTGAAGAAAGGATTTCCATGGAAATCCCATTGAAGCAGATTAACGGTGTTGCTTCATTGCGTTGTTTCACCTTCTATCCACCTGTTGATTGTTATGTAATTGTGTGTCTGCAGTATCCTCTTTGATGGCAGTAACGTGGGACATCCGCGCTTTGCTCGCAGAGGACGTCAAGTCACCAGTCTTCATGGTAGAATCAGTGGTATCTATCTGAAGCAATGTGAGAGTCAGGTTCCAGACCTACTGACCATTACTGACCCCAGCTGAAGCTGTATAGAAAACGTCCCTACATTTCCTGGGAGGAAGATGTGCTCTATGGAAAACCAAATTTTATCCCAGCCATGAAAATATGATCGAGAGACGAGGTGTTTTTCTGCTCCTCGGAGTATTTGAACCAACTCTTCATCATCTTGAGCTCCTTGCAGCCCCTTCCCTCCATGCGGAACTTAGAGTTGTCCATACAAATGGCACTTAAGCTCAAGTCACTGATGGAACCCCCGATGGAGTTCTCGTGCAACGTCAACACACCCAGGTGCTGTAGCTGGTGAAGGCTGGGAAGCACACCAGACAAGTGGTTCTGGTGCAAGGCTAAAACCACCAGGTCCGTGGCATTCACGTCCGGAAGTGAGCCCTGCAAATGGTTATTGTTGAGCGTCAGTAGAGTCAAACGGCGAAATTGCATCAAACATGCTGGCACATCCCCTGTGAAGTCGTTGTGGTTGAGCCGAAGCTCTTGCAAGACACCACCCACAGGGCTGGCGCAAAAAACCTCTGCCAGTCCAAAGAGACTGCCGTGAAATTGGTTGTGGCTCAGATCCAGATGCCGGAGCTTCGACTTGGAGCGACTCGCGGCTTCGTGCTGCTGGTTTCCCCACCCGAGCTCTCCACTGAAGGAATTGTGGCTGAGATCTAAAACTTGAAGATGTGGCAGCGTCCAAAAAGAAGCCAAGGATTTGGCACCTCCCAGCTGGTTTTCAGCCAGTGCCAGCTCTTCCAAAGACTCCAGCTCTGAAATTTCCCCAGGGAGTTCACCCACTAGCTGATTCCAACTCAGGTGCAGTAGCTTCAAGGACTTGAGCTGGCCCAGCTGCGGGGGAATCTCACCCACCAAGTGATTTTTCTCCAAGCTCAGCACTTCCAAGTTCATCAGCTCTGACAGCTGCCACGGGATCTCCCCCGTCAGCTGGTTCTCTGCGAGGCTCAGCACGCGCAACAGGCGCAAGCCGCGCAGCTCGGGTGGAATCGACCCTGAAAGCCGATTGCCCAGCAAGTCAAGCATGACAAGGGAGGAGAGATGGCCCAGATCTGCAGGGATTGGGCCCTGAAAGTGATTCTCAGACAAATCCAACTTCTCTAAGCTCTCCAGCTGGCCCAGTGAAGCTGGAAGCTCGCCAGCCAGCTGATTCTGCGAGAGGTCTAACCAATCAAGAGTCTGAAGTTCACAGAGCTCCTCCGGCACTGGGCCTGTCAGCCGATTCTGAGACAAATCCAAGACCTCCAAGGCCGTGAGCCTGCCAAGCTCTGGAGGAATGGAACCTTCAAGTTGGTTTCGCGCCAAAGTCAGTTCCTCCAACAGCTCCAGTTGGCCAAGCTCAGAAGGGATTTCACCCACGAGCTCATTCTGACCCAACAAAAGCCGTTCTAACAAATGGAGCTGCCCAAGCTCATGAGGGATTGGGCCATTCAGCTGGTTCTTCGAAAGCTCCAACTCTCTGAGTTTCTTAAGCTGGCCAAGCTCCTTGGGAATCTCACCTTTCAGCTGGTTGCCCATCAGGTCCAGCTCTTCGAGCGCCTCAAGCTCGCCCAGCTCCTTGGGGAGTCGCCCCCGAAGGTCCCGAAGCGACAGGTCCAGGCGGACGAGCCGCTGGTGCGCATCGCAGCTGAAGCCCTCCAGGGAGCACAGCTTCTGAACTTCCAGATCAACTTCAGGGAAACCCAGCTCTGCAAGCACCTTGTGGACGGCATCCGGCTGAGAGCCGCCCCTTGCCATCATTCCAGCAATCACGGAAGATCTTAACAGCTTCATGCCCGGCATGCATCATTGGCTCTAGAGTTTTTTGAGCCGAGTAAAGCTGGAAAGCAATCGAATCAACAACTGCCGAAAAGGGGACACTGCAAGAGACTGGCAGTAGAGTTGTGAACAATCTGAAGAAGTAATCCCTTGCATCAAATTGACATCGCAACCCACAGAATGGTGTGGATAGCAATTGGTTTTCCTCTACCGACGCTGGTTCTTAAAGGAATCGGCTTACGACCGACACCACAGGGCCAAGCCTTAAGAGACAGTCTTGATGTGCTGCTCGTCGAAGAGAAGACGCCACAAATCCACACAGCCAAACGAACTCGTGCAAAACATTGCAACACCTGAGTGTGTCAGTGTCAGGGATGATTCAGATCAGTCACTGGTGCGACCAACCGGAGACTCCGAACGGCAAGTCTGCTACATTCAGCGGCGTCTGCAGCTGGGAAGCTTTGATGATCGATCAATTGCTCTTTTCAGACAGTTGCAAACACGACGCATGGGGGTCAAACTGCTCTAGTTTGAGTTCCAGTGAGGCATCTATGGACATTTGGACAGCTTTGCGTTTTGGCTTCTTTGAAGCGAGCACTGAAAGGTAGCAAATCTTTGCCAACTCAAAACGAAAAAGGCTCTCCAAAATACTCCTGACATAAAATCCTTCTCCAGTGCATTTTGATGTACTCACAGTATGGCTACAGGATCTCAGATCTCCCCCCCGGAGAATCTCCGCTGAGTCACCCGCGTCGGTCGAGGAAACGCGATGTCAGGAAAGCGACTCGGCTGGGCTTTCAGGCTCCTTCACCTGAGACGTTCGGGTGACGAAGTGGTTTCCTTCCCTGACCGGATCTAAGCCTTAGTGGTTTGCTCGTGGCTTTCTAAGCCTTATGTCTCTGAAAAGAATGATGAGACTTATGCAAGCATTTTGCAGATCAACACGATTTGCAAGGAGCATGGCGATTCACGAAGGATGTCGTTCGGAACCAGAGGCTTGCTGCTTCGGATCGTTTTCACTGTCAGCTTGCAAGGACATGTTCAGCTTGCTCTGTGCAGTATATCTTTTGTTGAGAATTTAAGGTATCAGGAACAGGTCCTATTCGGTTCGGATGTGAGATGGGCTGTATCCATTGGGCCCATCTCAATGAGGCGTGTCTCATTGGCCGATTCCAAATCCTTCCAGAAATGGCGCCTGGCTGCTTCTACGGGCAAGAGCCCTTTGGCCCATGGCCCTATCATTGTCACACTAAAAGCCAGCAAAAGGGATCGCCCATACATCCCTGTGCTGAATGCATGCCAGAGCTGAAAGCAGCAACCAGCACAGAGTGCAAAAAGCAAGTACCACCGCGACAACCGAGCACCCTGGTTCATCTCGTCTGAAGGAAGCTTCACCCCAAAGCCCCACACACCAAGGTCAAAAATCAACAGATTCGCAATGCCAGCACCCAGAATCCCAAGGCTCAGTAGAGGGATGAATGGTGTCCAGAAAGCAAGGATTTCCATCTGCGTGGTCAGCAAGGACATTTGCTGCAACGGCTGCAGCGAACCACTCGTCTTGGGGCCAGAACCAAAGAGTTTGAGATGGCGTCCTTGTTGTGGATCCTCATGGCTTTCCAAACGTGAGACCCGCCACAGCAGCCACAAGACCAATGGTTGCACGGTACTTCGTACTAGAAGTTTTTGGAGCAAAAAGGGAGCCAAGTTCCCCACGATCGCGCGGCTGCAGCGGCCATCCAACCACCAAGTCTCGCTCAAACTGCAAATGTCTTTTTCAGTGTTCAATATCTCTTCATCATAGATTCTCCAATCAAAATACTTGTGTTGTGACGACCCTGCTCGGCAAGCGGTCCACGTCCATTTCCATCCACCAATACAGTTTTCATCCAAGACAACTGTGATCAGAAGCGGCAGCATCCACGCAGAAAACAGACGGAACGTCATCAACAACTTCTCTGCATTTGCTCCAGATAATTTGGAGTACTTCACTGATATCTTGACAGCAAGGACCATGTCAATCAAAACGGTCAAGGCAGGCGCAATGCCGTGAAACAAATTCAACATTTCATCAGAGAGGCCAGAGGTGTTGTGTGCCGGCAAAGACTGGGCAAACGCATACAGCACAGATGGCAACGAAAAAAAAGTGACCATGCATACCCAAAGGAGCCACACCAGAATTCTTCGAGCGAAGGTGCGTGACATCCCACTGAAGCTCATAACGGTAGGGATGCTGTTTCTCTTGGGCATGCTGGCAAAGAGGGACCGGAAGAGCAGAAGCATCACACACCAGCAGGCAATGACAGCAAGCTCCACCAAAGGCTCCGCTTTCAAGTTGGCCGCCGTCGTTTGCCAAAGGGGTGGGCTGCATTCGTAATAGACACCGCCATACCAAAAAAGCACCAGCAGCGGACATACCAGTATACAGGTGCTGCGGGAGGCTTTGATCCTTAGTGTCACACGGAAGAGTGTTGAAAGAAATGTGAGCTCGCACATGCCCCTCAAGGAAATTGATAGAGATGCCCTTTTAGCCAACCTTCACCGAAATCTGTCATCAAGTCATCTAGCTGCTTCAGCTTTTTCCTCAAGATTGCGCAACAATGACACAAGCCATATAGTCAAGGGAACGAACAAACAACATAGAATATGGCAATAGAACATTGGGAGGATCCTGCATGTGGGGAATCAATGTACACACACCGCACTTTTTGCATGTCTGTTCGATCCCGATAAAACAAGAAACAAAAACAAACAATATCTGGGTAAATCTTGGCCACAATGCAAAGTGAGATGATGCCACCCAAGCAGTGCCATTAGCGTCCAAGTTCCACAATGCCTCCTGAAGCCTCTGCCGCCGTGGATAGCACAAAGCAGCAAATGAAAGCAGGACCAGAAAACCGTAGAGAACATTGCGATTGGATTTCCAAACTTCCCCAGAGTAGTAGAGGAATGATTGTTTCTCCTCAGGCAGGATCCAAGAAGAGTTGAGTTCATGTCCAAACCCCAGCATGTTGCCCATGATGACTAGACCAGCGACTGTAACATTTTCAGCAGCAATGTGGGCAGGAACTTTGCAAGAAAAGCGGTTCCGGTGCAGCGTGATGTAGGCCGTGCTATGGCCGGGGCATCCAAATAGGCTTGGACAATTCTCTTTCAGTTCCTGGACATCAGCTGCTTCCGTCGTGTCAAGAAAAAGTGCCGTAGTGTCATTCTTAAAATTCGATATGGCCCGTTTCCACGTCACGCACCCCATTCCCAGCATTTTGAACTTGGAGTTGTCTATACAAGTGGCACTTAAGCTCAGATCGTTGACTGAACCCCCTATGGAGTTCTCGTGCAAGGTCAACACGCCAAGGTGTTGTAGGCTGAGAAGGCTAGGAAGAACACCGGACAAGTGGTTCTTGTGCAATGCCAAGACAACCAGCTCTGTGGCATTCACTTCCGGAAGTGAGCCTTGAAAGTTGTTATTGTTTAATGCCAGAAAATTCAGCCGTTGGAATCCCATCAGGCACACTGGCACATGGCCTCAGCTCAAAAGTCTGGTCACCGGTTGGCAGCAATCTACTTGGCCAATTTGCTCCAGTGCAATCTACTCTGGCACCAGTTAGGCTTAGTTAAGGACCAAAGGATCTTTGGGTTCCTTGCAATACGATAGATCTGTGCGATCGATCTCTTCGGTGCCGTTACCAGGTTTTCCGAGACGTGCCAAACCCCCAAACTCTGCACGAGACCAGGTCCCCAAACCCCCAAACTCCTGGCCTGCCACGAAATCTATCAACAAAGTGCTACACCTGGCAGCACTCCTACACCTGGCAGCTCCCCAGAATACTGCGCCTGGCCAGAAATCTGAACGAGGTTCACAAAGCCCTGCGCCTGTGCGGCTGCTGTCTGCACTTCCATGTCCACAAGGCACTGCGCTCTACCAGGTGAAGTGTTTTAAAGGTCTCGAAAAGGTGCGAGATAGACGCCCCGCGAACACCTTTCAACTCTACTCTACGCCTCCAAGAAGAAGCCAAGCGCGAGACCTCATCCAAATGTTTAAACATCACGGATTTCTCCGGTTGTGCACGGCACCTCCACCTGAGCTTCCAAGCCTTCCAGCACTCAGCCGGAAGCACGAAATCTGCACGAAAGCGAAGTGACGAAGTGAGGCACACTCAATCCCCTGCGCCTGCCACTGAGCCTGTGTACTTGGCGCGACCTGGCAGGCAAACAGTGTCTGCTTGTTCACAGCTGTGTCCTCCAAGTGCAACAAGGCACGACACCACAACAAGAACGCATTGCGCCTTCACAGAGCTCCCCCGTACGGCCCACTGGCAAAACCCCCAAAGATTCTTTCACAGTTCGAACCTTCACAGTCGAGTCTGGAATCGCAGCTCCAACCCTCGATCCCCCCACCCCTTTGACCCGAAGGCGTGAACCAGTGGAACCAGTGGAAACATGGAAACAAGACCCGGGGCGCGGGTTCCAACACTTCTTGAGCCCGGCGCCATTGAACTCGTTGTGGTTGAGGCGAAGCTCTTGTAGTGATCCCCCGACAGGATTCAACTTGCAAAATGGCTCCACAAACCTTGAGATGTCACCTGACAGCTGATTGTGGCTCAAATCCACACGCCGAAGCTCCTCAGACTCCAAAGACAGTTGCAGGTTGAGCTCTCCACTAAAAGAGTTGTGACTGAGATCCAAGACCTTCAATCGCATCAGGGAGAATAGACCTTCAATGTCATGTCCTGTCCCGGTGAACAAATTGCGTGACAGCAAAAGCTCTGCCAACATGTCCAGTGACTTCAGGTTAGGCAACTCGCCCTTCAGCTGATTGCTTGACAGTTCCAGTTTTTCCAATGCCCGGAGCTGATCAAACTCCTTGGGGATTTCGCCCTTCAGCCAATTCTGAGAAAGATCCAGTGTCTCCAAAGCTTGCAGCTGACCAAGCTCCCTGGGAATCTCACCATTCAATTGGTTGCCAAAAAGATCCACACTGTGCAACTGCGAGAGCTCACCCAGCTCTTTTGGAATTTGGCCCCTCAAGCGATTCCGGTTGAGCTGAAGATATAGCAAATTCTTGAGCCGTCCAAATTCTTTGGGAATGTCCCCCTCAAGCTGATTGTTGTTCAAAAGCAAAAATCTCAGAAAAAACAGGTTGCCCAGCTCCTTGGGGATTGTGCCACTAATCTGGTTGTCTGACAAGTCTAATCTTTGCAAGAGGTGAAGATGACCCAGCTGTAGGGGAATGTGGCCGGTCAGTTGGTTTTCCTGCAAGAGAAGGGACTCCAAAAATCGCAAGCCGCCAAGCTCTCTGGGAATTGGCCCTGTCAGCTGGTTGCTAGCAAAGCTCAAGAATCGCAAGACTGAGAGCTTGCCGAGTTCCTTGGAAATGTGGCCTGTCAAACGATTGTCGTTTAGGTGAAGAATTTCCAGCTGCGGAATCTGGCCGAGCTCCTCGGGGACTTCCCCATCAAGCTGATTGAAACTCAAGTGCAGCTTGCGCATTGCGCGCATCTGGCCAAGCTCCTTCGGGATCTTGCCGCTCAGTTTGTTTCTTTTCAAGGAAAGCACTTCCAGTGTCTTGAGCTGGCCAAGTTCCTTAGGAATCTCACCCGTGAGCTGGTTGTCATCAAGGTCTAGGTGATACAGAGCATCAAATTCGCAGAGCTCTTTGGGGAGTTTCCCTCCAAGATTCTTCAAGAAGAGCTCCAGCCTTGTGATTTGCCCTCTTGCATTGCAAGAAAAACCTTTCGCAGAGCAGGGGTTCTTTGCCACCACCTCCGCCTCGCTTCCAGGGAAACCTAGCTGCAGGAGCACCTTATGGACCACACCATCACCGCCATCACTTCTGCAAGTGGCGTGGTGGAGCATCATTCCGGCGATCAGCAAACATTTTGCCGTTGTCATGTTGGGGATGTCACCACTGGCTTTGCAGTGTCGTGGAGTAAAAACATACTCAGAATGTTCAAGAATCAACGGTGCAGGATGTTCAATCCAAGAAAAGTCTCCATGCAAGACATTTTTCTGAAACACTTTGTGGAGAGCCGCGACACAGCATAGTCTGACATACCTCAGGCCTGAACTGTCAGATCATCCTCCTTGACAGACACTCGCGAAGCCGAAGACCACGCGGGTGATGAAGTGGTTCAAGTTCACACATGCCTGTCAATCAAAAGGAAACCACAGCCCGCTGGGTGATCCTATACTTTCCCTATGTTGAAGATACTTGGCATGCCCCACCTGCTTTCATACACCGGCCTGCTAATCCTCTTCAGATACACACGCAGTTCAGGAACCTTTTTCGTATGCCAATCATGTCGCCGAACTTGGGGAAGAGAGTGGATGTGGCCCTGAACCCTGCCAAACTTGGTAATGCCAATTGAAGAGTACTGTCGGGGGTCCGAGTCTGAGTGTTCCTGAGTGCGGACAGGGAGTCTGCTCAGTGGCTTTAACTCTACAACGACTCTAGGACTGTAAGGACTCCAAGGCGCAACAGACAAGTGCGGAAGAGCCGCTTACCTTGTGAGTCTCCCACCAGCCACACACTTGGCAAAGAAACGCACACCAGTCACAATGCCTAAGATCTGATGGGGCCCTTTCGATGAAATGTTGAAAGTGCCATAAAATGTAGAGGAAGTCCCCACATTCCATAAACCAACGCGAGCCCAAAACAACAACACTGTGCAGGGTTCATCGTCCTTTCCGAAACCCACAAGGGCTTTGCACGAGCGTCTCTGGTTTTGGTGTGTACATCGATTCAGCCTCTCTCGCAGGTTACAGGTGACCTGCTTGGCTGAAGGGTTGAAGGGAAGATTGACGACATCAATCCCCCGGGATGCCCCAAATCCCTTTCCATCTCGGGACACGCCACGTCGCCCACGGAAGCCTCGGGCGATCGACGCACCTGACAGGGAGATGGGTCATCGCACCGGTCGACCGACCGGTTGAGCCTGGTGCGGAAGGTGCACAAATACCTAGGTATAGACCACGGCTCCAGGTTTTGACCCATCCCCATATGACAACAAACATCCAGAATCCAAATTCCATTGGGATCCAACATATTGAAGGCAAATGCCAGAGTGGAGATGGGGTGGCGGCTCCACCGCGTTCAGCCAAACGCCGTGAAAGCACGACCAAATAATGATCAGTTAGCAATATCTCCCAGGAGTCCAACTAGGTGGCACAAATCCTATCTATGAACTGACTCTCACATGGAGTCAATGTAAATGGTTTGCGCTGACTGAAATCCTCTGTGAACCAAAAGAGAAGCTGGGCTGCATTTCCTCCCAAAGTCCGTTCTAAGCTGTCCTGCTTGCCTGTCGTTCTTGCACCTTTTAGAATTTCGTTTTGGTCCAGTGCGGGCGAAGGTCATCTCCGACCTTTTCAAGGAAAACCAAAAGTCACCCGCTTCAGCACCAACCGTACATCCCAAAGTATGGGAGGAAAATGGGCCACCACGACATGACCATTATGTAAACACATGCGACACAAGTAACACAGGTTTAGCCACCTGCTGCGCTTTGGACAAAGGACTGGCCTGGCTGAACCTCCATCTGAAGAAATACAGCTCATCCGTCCGTGGACCCTTTTTGCTCACATGGCCCTTGCCTTCGTCCGGCCCTTGCTCTGGAGGTCTTTGCCGATGGCCCGATAGATTTTTCAATCCAAACAAGTCGAAGTGGTCAAGAGACACTTGTCGTCCAAACTCATTGCTATTAGCTTGGTGCGACCTCAGACATCTCAAACTCATTGACCTCCATCTCGCTTTCTTGCCTCCAGAAATGACGGCTCGCCACATCCAAAGGCAAAAAGTATTTTGCCCACGGCCCCATGACTGTAAGACTGAAGATCAGCAGTACATACCGCCCATACATTCGGGTGCTGAAAGCGTACCAAAGCTGAAAGCAACAGCCAGCTCCAAGGGCAAATCTTAAGTATGAACCCGACACTGCAGCACCCTTGTTCACACTATCCGAAGGAAGAGTCACCCCAAAACCCCAAATCCCCAGGTCAAACATCAGCAAGTTTGCAATCCCCGCACTCAGGATGCCAAGGCTGAGCAAAGGAATAAACGGAGTCCAAAAGGCTAAGAGTTCCAATTGTGTCGTCAACCACGACATTTGCTGCAAAGGCGCCAGGAAACCGCTGGTTTTAGGTCCGATGCCCAACAGTCGCAAATGACGTCCTCTCTGCAAATTGTCTTGGTGTTCCAGCCGGGAAACCTGCCACTGTAGCCACAAAATTAAGGGCTGAATCGTGCACCGTGTGAGCAACTTTTTGAGCAAAAACGGTGTCAAGTTTCCAATGATGGCACGGCTGCAACGGCCATCAGACCACCAAGTGAGGCTTAAGTTGCAAATGCTCCTTTGCGCACTCAGAATCTCTTGGTCGTAAATACTCCAGTCAAAGCGACGGTGCTCTGAGGACCCCGCTTGGCAAACCGTCCATGTCCATTTCCACCCAGAAATACAGTTTTCATCCAAAATGACTGTCGTTATCAGTGGTAACAGCCAAGCAGAAAACAGGCGGAAGGTCATCAACAATCTGTCTGTCTTCAACCCAGACCAAGCGGAGTATTGCGTCGACATTGGAACAGCCACTACCATGTCAATCAACACTGTCAGCACCGGTGCGATCTTGTGCACAAAGCTCAAGAACTCTTCGCTCAGACCAGAGGTGTTGTGGGCGGGTAAGGACTGGGCAAAGGCAAACAAAATGGACGGCAATGAGAAGATGGTCACAAGGAAAACCCAAAGACCCCATACCAGAACTCCCCCAGGTCGACCTGAGGTCATATTCTCATTCACTTGCTGGGCATCCTGCATTGGCATGCCGGCAAAGACCGCTCGGAAAAGCACCAGCAGCGCGGACCAGCAAGCAACAACAGCAAGGTCGGGCAAAAGCCCAGATTCAAAGTTCGCAGCTGTGGTTTGCCACAGGGGCGGACTGCATTCATAGTAAACTTCAAAGCAAACATAAATCAAAAGAAGCGGAGATGCGATCCAAAAGCTGCTGCCAGTGACCTTCAACCTCAGTAAGCACCATACCACGCCATTCTTGCAGCACCAAACAGTCGTAACCGACACCCCATATCAATACATGAAGCTTGCAAGTGTCATTCAATCTCCCTCTACCCACCTGGTCGGTAGACAATCTAAATAGTCTCCTGAGCACATTGTGATGCTAATGATGCACTACTCAGTGTCATTTTGCATCACTCGCATCATGAAGACCTTTAGAACATATATTTTCACTATCTTCTGTCCCTACCCGGCGGGTACAGTGCGACCGCCCGCCCCCCACACCCCTATTATCCACTTCGTTCGCCCATCGAGGACTCAGTCATGCCTATCGGCTGGCTACTATAGATACTTCTTTTAGCCTCTGAGAGCCACTGGCGCGGACGGTTGTTGTCGCGAAGCGATCGGAATAGAATCCGTGAGGGCAGTAGCAACCAAAATCGCTTCCGTGAGTCGGAAGAGAAAAGCAGGGTCTTCACGGTCATGAGTTTTCCATGCTACATTCAAATCATGCCTTGGGACTTCTGGGCGTTGGCAGGTAGCAAGTAGTGTTGTGTTCTGCCAGGTCTGTGACCATGTGTGGATGAAACTTTCATCCGAGGACATCGCATTCGACGGTGCCTCAAAATTATGAAAACCTTTTTGCCAAAGCAGAACCATTCGCTACAGCACGGTTCATTGACCAAAAAAAGTAAATCAAAAAAACAGCATGGCTCTGCAAAACCGAGCAACAATGCAAAGCTGGATGATGCAATGCAAGCAGTGCTGTCGAAATCCAAGTTTCGCGAGGCTTGGTGAAGCCTCCTCCGTTGTGGATAACACAAAGCAGCAAAGAAGAGCAAAACCACAAAGCCGCAAAGCACATAGAAGTTGGACTTTTCGACTTCCCGCGAGTAGTAGAGAAAGGATTGCTTCTCCTCAGCTTGGATCCAAGATGAATTCAGCTCTTGCCCCACCCCCAGCATGTTTCCCATGATGACCAGACCCACCACGGTCACCTTGCCCGTGGCAATGTTCTTGGGCACTGCACAGGAGAAGCGATTGCGGTGTAACGTGATGAATGCCGTACCCTCGCTCCTTAAACATCCAAATAACGTAGGGCAGTTAGCTTCCAGTTGCCGGAGGCGATCCACTTCCACCACTTCCGCCACTTCCTCCGACTGCAAGCCTTCGAAGGATCGTCTCCATCCCTCACACCGGAGCCCCTCCATCCGGAACTTGGAATTGTCCATACACTGCGCGGAACTTAAGCGCAGGCCACCGATGGACCCCCTCATGGAATTCTTGTGCAGGGTCAACACACCGAGGCGACTCAGTTGGTGAAGGCTTTTGGGAAGAACACCGGACAACTTGTTCTTGTGCAAAGACAGGACAACCAGTTCTGAGGCGTTAACTTCTGGAAGTGAGCCTTGCAACCAGTTGTTATTTAAGGCAAGGAAGTTCAACTTCTGGAACTGCATCAAGCACAGTGGCACCTCTCCTGTGAGTTCATTGTGATTGAGGCGAAGTTCTTGTAGTGATCCTCCCACAGGATTCGATTTGCAGAATGGGTCTACTAGCCTTGAGATGTCACCCACAAACTTATTGTGGCTCAGATCCAGGTGTTGGAGCTCCCTGACTGCCTCCACGGACACGTCTACATCCAGCTCTCCGCTCAAGAGGTTGTAGCTGAGATCCAATACTTCTAGACACACGTTGGAGTTCATCAGGACTGAAATGCTTCGACCATCCCCCGTCAACTGGTTCCGCGTCAAATGCAGCTCTTCCAGAGCCTGTTTGCACGCACTGTTCTCCAGAGTCAGTCAGCAAAAAAAATGGGCGAGTGACAGTGGATACCCCCCGAAAAAAGCCCTTGGGCCATCCTCGGCTTTCCAGGATTCAACAAAAAAGCAAGAAAGAAAAATTAGATAGCCTGCAACTGACCAAGCTCTTTGGGAATCTCGCCATCCAGCTGGTTGCCCGACAGATCCAAGACCCTTAGAAGTTGAAGTTGCCGAAACTCTCTGGGAATGTTGCCCGACAGTTGATTCCCCTCAAGGCCCAAAACGCGCAAGGACTGGAGCTGGCTGAGCTCCATCGGAATGTCACCATTGAGGCTGTTGTTGTTGAGGTGAAGCTCGCAGAGATATTTCAGTCGGCCAAGTTCTTTGGGAACATGGCCATTCAGCAGATTGCCGGACATGTCCAGCTCCTCAAGAGCCTCAAGCTGACCAAGTTCCTTGGGAATTTCGCCCTTTAGCTGGTTGGCTCTTAGGTCAAGCTTTTGCAACCACTGAAGCTCTCCCACTTCCTTCGAAAGTCGCCCTCGAAGACTGCGATTTGGGAGGGCCAGGCTCACCAGATGCCCTTGAGCATTGCATCGGACACCCTCTGCAGCGCAGCCCTGCTTCAACGCCTCCTCCGCTTGATGCTCCGGAAGACCCAATTCCACGAGGACTCGGTGGAGTGAAGCATCAGAGGCACTTCCCAATGTCAAACCAACTACAAAATAGCTCAAGAGTTGCATTAAAGACGCGCACGCTGTGAGTACACCATCGCAAGTATATACTAGTGCCAAAGCACATCAAGTCGGGTTGAAAAGGAAGATCTATGAGAACAGGTGATGGACTCAGGCCTTGCAAAGCATGTACCACCACTGGTTCATACTGGTTCCCTAAAAGGCGAGTAAGTGGGATTCACTAGGTACTGGGGGGCTCACGTCCTAGTGACCAGCAACCGGTCTTCCCTACAATGCTCTGGGTGGAGGAACGTCATCCCAGGTGTTTTTCCATTGGTACTGGGCAAAATCTGGTGAACTGCCGTGTGAGTGTCTCTTGTCATCAGCTGCCACCGTCTCTCCCTTGGCTTGAACATGCTTGAACCAACATTCAACGAATTGTGCCCGACACACACCCGTCCACGATACTCCAAGACCCCAGGCTTCCGACCACCATCATTGTTGCACTAAGGATTTCCACACAGCCATTGGAGTCAGTGGCCTGGAGCCCGAGCTCCCTCAGCACACAGCACGCCCAAAGTGGGGCGTCCTGGCATAACAGGAACTGCAAACACGTGACTACATGAAGCATGGCACAAGCATGTTGAATTCTACATGAATAGGTCAGCGCATAGGTCCAGCGGGACGGAGCTGTCCTTGAGGCTCTCTTCCATCCGCTGCCGATGGTCTCTGATGTCGTTGGCCAGATCCTGTGGATTGGGGCAGTTCCAAGTGCCCCAGGGCCCAACGACCCAACCAGAGCACCATGGTCTCCGGTTCCACCCATAAAAAACACGATTAGTTGATCAAAACAACTGTCCACCTACCGAACACCAGGATGTGCACGCTGAAAAAAACATAATAACTACTTCTTCAAACGCATCAGCACGGAGGCAAAAACCTCTCCCCTCAAACAGTTCCTATCGAGTCTGGTCTTTCAGTTTCCAACAGAATGTCTCTTCTGTCCCTGTCAAATTAGCACATCTCCCGTATCTCCTTATTCCCTATGTCCATTGGAGAAGGGGCAAATGCAAATTCATGCTCTAGAGTTTCCGGGACCCTTTCGAAGCCCAATCTTTAAGGGACTCCCTTCACGGAACTGAGGATTAGGGAGTGAATGGAGGGCACACCTGTATCGAGTGTGACACCATCAAGGGCTAAACATGCAGGAGTCCAAAATGGGGTTCTCTCCGTTCATGAGACCTTTTTCGAACACGGATTTTGCGGGTTCCGAAAAAAGCCGAAAAAAAGCCATCAACCAAACGCTTTCCATCCGTGCAAACCCGGCGTGTCCAACGTCTGGGGATTTCAGACTCCACCAATGGTCAGGACTCCAGACTCAGGACTGTCGCTCCTGTCACAGCTGTGGGAGCTGCCTCTGATCTGCTCTGCAATTCACCTAGAAGAAACAACCTGCCGCCTGCCGCTCCACATCATCCAAAGGGAAGTGGTTTTCCGGCTTTCGGGCAAGTGGGAACATCCAGATTGGTGATCATTTAAAGGACTTAGAGTTCACACGTCCCAACCTGGTGTAGCTTGCCTCTCTTTTGCGGTCACTGCTGTGCTCGAGCTAGATGGCTACTATTCCTGTCCCAGAAATCTGCTTCTACTCTTGGCTAAGCCGTGCAAACACAACAAAAACAACCCAATGGGGGGGAAAATAAACAAAATGGAGCCAGCAACCGGAATGCACACGCGCACTCGAAAACAAACGGCCAAACATTGTTTGACACTCGTGTGCAATGCTCTTGTAAGACACTCTTGTAGGCGGTGTTCTTGTGGGACATTCTTGTAGGACACTCTTGTAGGAGACACACTTGTAGCCCAGCAACAAGTTAATCATTTCCAGTGCCTTAGGGCCCTTCTTACGGCCTTCGTCCGCAGGTCTGTGTCAAGGACATCAAGAGTGCACCTCGGGACTCTTTGAAGACCACCAGTGACTTTGAACATGCCTTGCCGGGTTGGCCTGTGATGCGGCGGAATTCGGCGAGAATCTTGCACAGCGAACTACGGGCACGCTGCATAGGCTGCAGTGCGTGCAGTTGGTGCTTCTTCTTTGGTGGAAGTAGTCCACGCGACAGGGTGCAGCCACACGATTCCAACTGGGTCTTTTGGCGATCTGCCAGTTGGCGCTGATGAATCTGCAAGCTCTCAGGCGGGGTCTCAATTACTGTGAGCAAATTAAAAGACTTCAACTCACAAGCCAAAAAACAAACTTCCAATATGTGTCTGCAGGAAGGAAAGCTGATCTTGTTCACTCCTCTACAGAATAAGACCCCTGGAGCTCTTCCCTAACCTTAGCAACCTAGCATTCCACAATAGATGCTTTACCTTGGCAAAAACAATCGAATTGGTGATCAACGCATCGCTTCTCTTCACCTCACCTGATTTGGTACCTGACCTCCCCGCGCATCTTCAGTTGAGCGGATCCAGCACAGAAAGAATTGGTTCAAATCTGTCATGCACCAACAATCAGACGCAAATCGAAATGGCGCAATGTTATAAGAAAAATGCAATGCAGAGTGCCGGCAATGCTAGTGTGTTATTGGACATCTTCGCATGGCCCGACACGTTTTTCTCTTTGCTTGCGATGAGTTTGTCAGAAAAAACATTCCCTTTATTAGAAGAGGTGGAAATGCACTGCCATAATCAGCGTGGCTGCATGGGCCCAGGCGGGACCGGCATGTGAGTAACCCTGTACGATTTGCTTAATGTACAAAGAGTATCCAATGCAATTCTTGAAGTGAGAAGTGCGGATTGGTGCATTTCTTGAGCAGTTCTGGCGTCTGACGAGTTTCGTTCCGAAACTGCCAGACTTTGAGCTACTTGACTCTGAGCTACTTGACACTCTTGTGGGACAGTCTTGCGGGCTTGTAAGACACTCTCGTGCAAAACTCTTGCGGACACTCTTCTGGGACACTTTTGTAGGAGACACTCTTGTGGACACTTTTGTGGGACTCCCGTGCAACATTCTTATGGGACACTCGGAAATTCGTTCTTGCGTGCCTTTCTTGTAGGAAACTCTTGTAGGACACTCTTTTCGGACACTCCTGTGTCAACACTCCAGGCAAAAGTGTTCCCGCACATTCACTTTTTTAACAATCGCCTGAACTCCATCACCCTGAAGGGCTCATCAGCGATTGGACCCTGGAAACACTCCTGCCACTTGACAGAAAAATGAAACATGTTTGCCAACCTATGTGGCAACCCAATCAAGGGCACTGGCTCGAAGCACTGCAACCGTCGGCCGACCAGGAGTCGACCACTGTTAAGTGATCGATCACTGTTGAAACGACCTACAAACGCAGCCAAACCAAAGCCACCAGTGAGCCCTCCTCGCGCATCAATGACCACGGACGCGGAAGCCCGACTCCAAAAGGTCTGAATTGTGATCGCCACTACTGGAACAATCGCCACCACTCCCCAATTCTCAATCATATCCGTCAGTGCAGCATTTGTGACCAGGAAGAAGCCCAGCAGCACGGCGAATTTAAAGCGCTTTACATCCCGTCCTCCTCCTCAGAGGACAACCCCAGCACTCAGAACAACAAGTTCTTCCAAAGCTCCAAGATAACATTTTCAGCGGGTGTTGAAGCAGTACAGTCAGCGAAGAAGACGAGCCGCGTGCAAAAAACAAGCCTGAAAACCGCCGGGCACCTTTTCTCGCTCAGCTTGAGACCTGGTAGGTTGTGGTGATACGTTTATATCATGTGCTCATGCACTCCACAGCCATCTCTAGTTACAAATCCGTTGAAACTTTTGTTGAATCCTGTCACCGTCCTCATGACTGTTGGAATGCATGCTCAACAGGGCCTTGGGCTGGGTATATTTTCGACCCCAAAATTGTATTTTTTTAACCTCAAGTATGTGTTCAACCCCAAACAAGTATTTGTTTCAACCTCAAGCTCGAAAAATACCATTGGAGAGCGCCGAAAAATACTTTTTCAACCCCAAAACGGTATGTTTTGATTTGAAAAAATTGCCTCAAAAATGTATGTGTTGATTGGAAAGGTGTTCTTTCGACCTCAAAATTGTACTTTTTGAGCCCCAAAGAAATGAGAGAGAGACACGGGCGAAAAGAGAGACCGACAAAGACGAGAAAGCTTACTAAACCAAAGAGTGGCGTGATATGTTTGTGTGGCAAGTCGTGGGCGGTTGGTTGGGTGATCACAGGGGAGGATGGTCACACGTCATTGTCTGAAACGGGCGCTGCGCCCTCCCCCGCCCCCCTTCAGATTTTTTAACCAACCTGCCAACCCACCATCAACCCACTAACCAACCAACCCACACACCCACACGCACCTCATTTCGACACACCCACAGAACCATCGACCCATCCATTTTTGGTTTGCATTGCGGGGGAGGCGCTGCGCCCTCCGCGCCTTTGCTTTTTTCAAAGCCAACCGACCAACCACCCAACCATTCAACCCACCAACCAGCCAACCAGCCCCACACCCCCGCTGGTCTCGGCTTGCCGCTGCAGCTGACAACTTTGCCAAGGGCAATGCCCAAACAGAGAGTACAATCATCGCTAGTTGGCTGACCTCTGGGTTATGAACAGAATGGGGTGATTCCTTCTTTCGTATAGGCAGGAACTCACGAGATTGAGTGAGCATGAGCTCTTTCGTTACTTCCACCACGGCTATCCGGACTGCAACGAAGAAGACCGACCCTACCAGAAATGTGGTCCGCATGTGTGTGAATGGCAGCAGATGAGCCGATGGCTTACAGGAGATCCTACTTTCTCACGAAGCTGGCAATCCATGTGGGACAGGACAGAAGGGGCCAAAAATGAAGGGACTGGTCGAAATAAAAGTCGTCAAGTTGCTTCCCGTGGGTACTGGTAGTTCCTCCTCCACTGCGTGTTCCCAATCGTAATCGCCCTCCCCCTCCGCCTAAACCTAGGTACTGGGGTACAAGGTAGGAAGACCAAACCAACCACATGCAGTGGGGCCCCTGGCCCATAGCTACCTTCCCATAGTAGGAGGGAGGAGAATGTTGTGGCCTCAGCTGCTGCATTCTAGTGACCT